CCAAGGTGGAACCTAGGCAGGCTAAATGTAGAATCTCAAGAAAGACACCTTGGTGACAGGTGGCATCTCACAGAGAGTATATGGGTATCAACAACTATAAAGAGTCTGGGAGTTTCTCTACTTTCAAATTGTTGATTTAACCTGTGATGGTATCACCGATGCTGGCAGAAAATGCAACACTCCAGGGTCAGAGACAAAGGACTTAATTACTCACAGCACAGCAGGCAGCATGAACTTCGTGTTTGCTTGTTCCTCCCAAGTCCCACGGGGACAATGCAGGTGATCCCAGATTGGCATTGGATGGACACTGGGTTTGCATCACAGCTGAGGAACTCCAGGCTTAGAAACCCCAGTCTTTTCAAGTAGACTGCAAACAAGCCCCTCTCCTTTTACCTCAGGAGAGGCATTGCTCTTTATTATATGGACACCAAACAAGCCTGTCCTATGCTCCACAGGAAGAACTCTCTATCCTCCACGACTGTTTGCTATACAAACATCCTTGAAAATATAACCAGAACAAAAAGCTGTTCACACCCCTGCTTGTGAGTTACATGAAAATACCAGAAGCTCAGGAAGAACTGTCTCTCTATAGTGGTAGCACTGACTTCCAATGGGCAGTGGCAATCATCTGAAAGTCAAGTATATGAGGCTGTTCAGAGTATAGTGTAGTGGTTCAGTGTGTAGATTGTGGAGTCAGACAGCCTGGATTCAAGTCCTGGTTCTGCTACTTTATAACTGTGTGACCTTTTGCAAGTTACTTGACCTCTCTGCCCCAGTTTCTCCTGTAAAATGAGAATAATAATAGCCCCAATCTCACAGGCTTATTGTAAAAATTAATATAAGAGTTTATTATATATGCAAGGCACTTCGAACAGCGCAGAAAGATTGAGGGCCATGACAGTGTTAACTATAATTATTATTAATTATCATGATGATGCTGCAAAGCTTGTGGTCATGCCTGTTTTTCCACATTTGTGAGCAAACTGTGTAACCCACACAGTTCCTTTGGAATCTGTCTCAGAGATTTGGAGAGGACACCAGGGTTCTTGACTCCCTCCTCCCCACACACTGACTTAATAAATAGGACTGAGGGGCTGAAGTGGTGGTGGTTTCAGGTTCCAGAAAATCAAATGGACTCAGGTTCAAATCCTGCCTTTGCCATGTGTCAGCTGTGTGACCTTGGAGAGCAACTTCCCAGCTGGGGACCTCCAAGTACTTACTGCACAAGGGTCTGGGTGAAGGGAGAGCAGAATCCCCCTTCCCCTCACCAGCACTCGCCCCATGCGACCTGCTCAGCACATACTCTGGGTCATCCTTAGCCAATGCCATTTTGATTATCACCATCATATTTATTCAATGAGCAAGACTCCATAGAGTGCAAACTGAGTACACCCTTGTTCTTTTCCTCCAGCACTCAGTAAATTCACTCTGGCCCCACCATCTCTCTGCCTGCCTCAAACTCCAGGAGAGACTGAGGGGGAGGCACCCCCATACCCTTCTCAGAGGTCTGACCGTTGCTCTTGCTGTGCCACATCACTCAAGAAACACAAAGCCCCTCTTAGTTGTGGTCTTTGAATATGTAACACCCATACCACCCCATCACCCCTCTCAGTCCTCCTTCAGATCTCACCTCAATTGCTACCTCCTCCGGGAAGACTCCCTTGACTTCCACCCAAGGCTCATTAGGTCTCCATGTTAGATATTCCATTAACATTTTTATTGGACACTCTCCCACTGCTCCCCACCCCACCCCACCCTGCTCCTACCCAGGGATTCCTTCTTCCAACACCTGCATGTTTTGGGGTGGCGGTCTTTCTCCAGCTGCTGACGCTAGAGTGGCCCAGGCAAAGACTGACCAGAAGTGCTGGCAAATCAGCAACCTGCCTTTCCTGCCGCCCAACCAGGGAGCAGCCTAAGGAATGAGGATGGGGATTGGTGGATGAATAACCTAGCTCCCACCCCCTCAGCTCTGATAACTCCAAAGAGGGTGCTTCCTGCTGCCTTCCAGAGGTTCCGCGGGACTGCACCCTGGTTTTCCAGAGTGGCAACAACTGACTTCATTACTGCAGTTTCTGGTGCCTTCCCTTCTCTGTCTCACCTCCTACCACCTACCCTTGTCTCCTTGGGCTACCTCCCAAATAAGTTACTTGCCCCCGAATTCTTGTCTCAGGGTTGGCTCCTGGGGGAGCCCAACCTCGGACAGCAGTTTGCCTTACCCTAATGAAATCTGTAATTTTGGGCAGCTATTGGGCCTCTCTCCCCACTGGCCTGAGTCATGTCCACCCTCTTGTCTTCAACACCCACCCAGTGCCTGGCATGTAGTAGATGTTCAGTAAATGACTCCAAGTCTCCTAGCTCGGGGGGCCAGATGGTAACAGGGAGCTCTGCCCCCACTAAGGTCCTCAGAAGCCCCCAGTTGGAGAGTTAAGGTGTAGGAGGGGAGCTTACTTCTTCCAAGCTATATATGGCAGCCTCCTCCTCCCTGGTGCCCCAGGCTGCACAGCCTGGACAGCTGGGCCAGGGCCCCCAGGGACCAGGAACCCCAGATGACCCTTCAGGCCTGTCCAGAACTCCTGGAATGTCCACAAGGCAGGTACACAGAAAGGACATAATTCCAGTCCCAAGACTGCGGGGCAGAAGTGGGGATGGCACAGCTGGGCTCTCAGGCCATTCCTAGGTCCCGTCTCCCCTTCCAGGTATCAGATTCCACCTCCAACAGCTCCCTGAGCAGAGGCCTGTGCAGGGACAAGGGTCTGCCCTACAAGGCCATGGAGTGAGCAGGCACCTCCTGGGGGAGAGATCCCTTTTCAAGCTGCTGGTGTCAGACCTGGAATTAGCCACCCCACCTGTGGTGAGGCCAGTCTCGGGGTCTCCCAGGGGCAGCAGGGGTGGAGGGAGCTGACCTCTGATGACTCAGCTTGAGACAGTCAGGGAATGGGGGTGGGGGTGCTAGAACCTCTCTCCAGGTCTGTTGTAGAGTAAGCTAGGTCAGGTTCCAGCTCAGCCACTCACAAGCTGGGTGACCCTGGGTGGGCCACTCTGGACTTCAGCTTCCTCCTCTATAAAATGAAAATACAAACAGCCCCCTGTCTCAGGGTTCAGAGAGGCTGAAGTGAGGCGCTGTGAATCGAATGCTCAGCACTGTCCCTGGCACATGGAGGGCACTCAGTGAACAGTATCCCATGATCTTCCTCTACACGCTGCCAACCAGGACATGGGGGGGTGCAGAATTGGGGAAGGGTCTGGGCTGGGCCTCCTTGGTTCTCCAACATGAAGAGAAACCAATATCCTCAGAGCATGAAAGAGGTTCCAGAATGTTCTGTTTGCTACCATTTTGGTCCCAGTGCCTTTGAGTGGGGTAGTTCTAACCATGACCAAGAGAAGAAATAACAGCTTAAGGAGCAGTGAAGGAATCAGAATGGGGCAAAGGGGAGCTGAGAACTCTGGGTCTTGGCCTGAGCCCCAAGCTCCCCAGTGGTGCTGACTACTTCCTAGCCTCTCTCTTTATCCCACCACTCTGTGGCCTTGGGCAGGAGACACAAAGCCTCTCTGCCACATAGAATCGTGGTGCTGGGCTGCGGGTGCAGGGCTCTGTTCAGAAAGGCTTCCTGGAGGAGGAGCCATCTGATCTGGGTTTTGAAGGATGAATAGAAAGTTCCCTAGTTAAAGAAGTATGTGTGAGAGTGGACTGTTCATTTTAATTAACAATTTCTGATTATCTGGGTACCAGACACTCAGGGACCCTCAGGCAAGACCAAGGCACAGGCCTGCCACAAAGCAGCTCAGTCTGAAAGTGATGATCAAATAATAACAATAAGAGTAATAGCTCTCACATTCTGAGCATGTGCCCCTAGGGGTCAACCTGCGAGAGGCACTCTGTTTGTCAAGTGAATGAATGAGCAAACAAATCATTCTAAAGCAGGGAACCTGCCCCAGTTGATGGTGGAGAGAAGGAAGGTACAATGGGCAGAGGGGACCACAAAGGCAAAGGCCTGGAAGTAGGAAATGGCAGCCCTTCCTGGGAGCTCTGAGCTCGGAGTTAGGGAGAGTTGGGTGTAGGTAGGGATGGGGTTGGGGTGGGATTGGACAGGAGTCTTGAGTGAGAGGCTGAGGGGCAAAGGCCTCCTGTTCCTGTGGGAGCTGGAGAGCCACAGCCGGATTCTGAGCTGGGGAGGGAGGGCAGGCATCGGGGTCTGGTCTGGGACCGCCTTGGCCTCAGAGTTTCTGAGAAAAAGACAATCCAGGTCAATCTCAGCCAGAGATCTGGTGAGCCAGATCCATGGGTGCAGGGAAGATGACAGAGAGAGAGGGAGACATAAAGGAGACAGAAAGACAGAGAGAGAGACAGAGGGAGAGAAATGGAGATCGACACAGAGACATGGAGAAAGACACAGCAACAAAAAGAGAGAGAGAGAGAGAGACAGAGAAATAAAGAGAAACAGAGATAGTCACCAAAACAGAGACAGAGGGAGGAGATGATGAGACAAAGACCCTCCAGAAAGAGGTGGGAGTGGCCCGGGGAGGACCCCAGGAGCGGTAGCAGAATGTGGGATAGGGGCCTGACTCCAGTGCCTGGAGAGTCCTAGAGGGGAGGAGAAGGGAAGACAGGCGCCTCCCTAGTCCCCTCCACACCAACCCACAGGTTCTCTTCAGCCCTCCCAACCACAGATGGGGAAATTGAGGCCAACCAGCAGGCCACAGGGGATCCTCCTGGGCCAACACTGTGCCCCCAGGCTCATATGGGACCTGTGTCACCAGGTTAAAAATGGAAACAGGTCAGGCCTTTTTTTTTTTTCCTTTGAGAAAATCCTAGGACCAAATAAGGTACGGGCTGCGGGTGGCTGGTGAGCTGGCCAAGTTCTCCTGAGCGAGCGAGTGGTGGCTAGCCCTGCCAGCCTGGGCTTGGGCCTCTTCCAAGACTCACCCAAGCAGGGCGGCACACCCTGGGGAGGCTATAAGGGCCTCCACTCCACCCTGCTGTTCACTCGGCCGCAGCCACAGATCCCGCCACAGACCCTGCCACTCACGCCCCTCTCCACCCAGCCATGGAGGCCATCAAGAAGAAGATGCAGATGCTAAAACTGGACAAGGAGAATGCCATCGACCGAGCTGAGCAGGCTGAGTCAGATAAGAAAGCTGCTGAGGAGAAGTGCAAGCAGGTGAGGGGTCGGACGCTGGGCCGCACCAGGCTGCCCAGTGCCCTCTCTGAGCTGGCGAAGCTCTGGGCCAAGGGTGGCGTTCTCAGAATCTTTGGTACCTGGAGGTTAGGAAGGGGACAGGGGGTGATGCTCCAGCCAAGACTGAGGGGATCATTGTCTTCCCTGGAGGGGTCCCTAGGCTGGAAGAGAGGGGTGACAGGACCCACCCAACAAGGCCAGCGGGAGCCAAGTGAATAAGAAGGGGCATTTGTGTGTGCTGGATACATGTGTGCAAACATAAGAGTGTGTGTAGGTGTGTCAGCGTGAGTGTATCAGTGTGGGTGTATGTGTATTGGATGGAGTGGCTGGGGAAGTGTGTGTGTGTGTAAGTGTATTTGTGTGTGAGCATTTCTGTGTGTACACATGTACATGTGTGTTTGTGTTTCGGCTGGAGAGAGTGTGGAGGAATGAGTGGTTGTGAACACGAGTGTGTGTAGAGAGGTATGAGCGTGTGGCTGTTGGAAAGTGGGTGTGAAGAATGCAGCTGTGTTTGTAAGTCTGTATGTGTGAATGGTGGCATCAGTGTGGGGTTGTGTGCATGGGCGAGAGGCTGGCTGTGTGTGTGTTTTTGCAAAAGGTGGCATGACTAATGGAATGTGCGAGTATCACGGTGAGTGTGTGTGTCGAGGTGACTGTGTTGGGGTTGGCCTGTGTGTGCTTGCTGGGATTACTCTTTCTGTTAGTGTGTGTGTGTGTGTGTGCCTGTTGAAGTGAGGGTGGCAATGCAAAGCTGTGTGTGTGTGTTGGGGGGTGACCCTGTGCCCGTGTGACTGTGAGCCTGTGGGTCCACATTGATGGCTGCCCTGGGAGGGTGGCCACGTGTGGGTGTGTGGTGGGCCTGGCTGTGACTGGCGGCAGGGGCGGCTGGGTGAGGCAAAGGATGACTAAGAAGGTCAGGCATGGAATCCAAGTGTCCGGAGGTCAATTTCCCCATCTGTGGCTGGGAAGGCGGAGTAGAGATTTGAGACTTGCCATGAGGCTTTGCTTACCTGGGGTGCCCCTTGCTGTCCCTGCTGTGAACCTGGCAGGGCTGCCTGTGGCAGGCAGAGGCCCTGGACCCAAACTTTGGGGACAAGAGTCCCAGGAGGCTCCTGGAATAAGGGTACATCAGGGAGCGAATGGAGGAGCAATGGCAAAGGTCTGGGCTGGGCAGTCCCAGGGCCATGGCTGGGGGTGGAACAGAAATCAGTCGTAGAGGTCTAGGTAGCCAGAGCAGCCATGGGAGGTAGGAAGGGAGCCCTGCCTCACACAGAGCTCATCCACATCCCCAGGGTCAATTGCCAAGCCCTCAGGAGCACCAGGGTCTCAACTAAGCCCCAAGAACTTCCCAGGACAGTAACACCAAGTGCCCAACCCTACCCAGCACAGGCTCTGAGCTCAGAGCGGCCCTGTTCACAGCTGGTCACTCAGCACCCCGGAGCAAATGCCTTTACTTCTCTGTGCCTTGGTGGCCTCATGTGTGAAATAGGGAAGTAACAGAGGTACTTCCCTTGCAACCATGAAAGGATTAGAGGTATGCAGGGAGATCCCTTGTCATCGCACCTGGCACAAAGTAAGAGCTCAATAAATGCAGGGTTGTTTCCTGCCCCTCCCTACTTCCTGGGGCTGTGACACATCTGCATGGGTCAGCTCCACATCAGCCTTCCGTGCCACAAATGCTCCTCCTCCCTCCCTGTGCCCTCCTTGACAAACACTGCTGGCCCTGAGCTGCCTGCTTCCATCTATTATTCAGCCTTCACCATGAGAAGATTAGCAGAGAAAAGCAACTCGAAGACTCTAATTTTCACTAAGGTGTGAGTGACTGATATAGTGTCTTCTACCAAGGCAGACACATGTTCAAAAGGGAAGGCTTCTCAAAGCCTCCAGGCAGCTGTGTGGCCAAGGAGGCAGGGATAGGTTTTCTGGCCTTCAGCTGGACTTTCATTCTGTTTGTTTGTTTATTTTACCCACAAAGCCTCCCACTAGGGTGGACTTGTGCTCAAATCCAGGCCGGATCATCTAGTTTTGTGACTTAGGGCACATTGCTGCCCCTCTCTGAGCCCTCAGTGTTCTCATCTGAGAAATGGGGCAAATGATGCTTCCAGTGGCTGGGAATGAAACCTAAGACCCCCGAGGTCAAAAGCAAAAGCCAGAGCCCTATGGGGCCAATGGCCATCCTACCTGGAACAGAAGCTGGAGGTGACAAGGAACTCAACTTACCCAGAGTGCCTTATGCTTCAGAGGAGGCCAGAGAGCATGGGTCTTTGGATCAGCTTGACCCTCAGAAACCCTACAGCAAAGTCCCATTTCATGCCCCTCTAACCCCCCCACCCCCATCTATTAAGTGTGGGAATGGGACCAAGAGGCCCAGCCTGCCTGCTTCCTGCCCGCTCCTCTCCCAGGGCAGTGACATCCGCCACAACTAGCCTTTGACCTTATATCCTGCCTCAGCCCTGCCCGTGGTCCTCATTTATAGGGACGAAGGCGTATAGTCCATGGCCCTTCCAGCTGTTTTACAGGCAGGAATACTGAGGCCCAGAGAAGGAAGTGACTTTTCTGAGACCTCCCAGAGCCAGGGCAAGGCTCCACCCACCCAGCAAGGTGCCACCCACCACCACATGCTTTATGTGTGGAATTCAGAGGGAAAGGAACCAATTCATGTCGGTCTTATTTATTTTTCATACCAACTCCAACCATTAAAGGGTTTGGGGTTGTGTCATTGATTCATTCTGAGAACTTCCTCTGGGGTTCCGTGGTGATTGCCCAGCCTCATGCTGGGGTGCAGAGTGACCTTAGCCCCAGGCCTGTCTCCCAGGGAGAAATGGGGGACAAGCTGGGGGAGATGGAGCCAAATGTAGAGGGACACCCCTTGCCTCTAGGGTTAGGGCTAGGTCAGGGAGGGACAGGCACTGGAGGGTCCAAGGGGATGACAAGGGCTCTGCCCAGAATAGCCGAGCAAACTGCCCAGGAGCGGGGGCTTTGGTGCTGGGTATGAAAGGTCAGTGGGAGGAGGGTGTGCTGGTCAGTGGGCAAAGTATAGCCTAATGGTCAAGTGAACCAGCTTGGAGTCATTCTGACAAGAGTTCAAATCCCCTATCTGTATGGCCTGGGCAAGTCCCTTCTTCATTTGGGGGTCTCAGTTTACCCTTCTATAATATGGGCCTTCAGTAACAGGCCTGGCATATTCTAAATGCTTCTTAGCCCCCTGCCCACTCTATCCATATCCCCATCCATTATCCAAATTTTGCTGGAAAAGGTCACCAAAACCCAATCATCTTTGTAGCTGGATGGAGAACTCAGAGACTACCCTGCCAAGGCTTCCATTTTGCCGAAGAGGAAACCAAGGTTAGGAAAGGGGACAGGGGTCATACAGCTGGGGTTTGGAGTCAGGCTTCTGAACTCCTTGCCTGGAGGTTAAGGTCAGGCCCCACAGACCCTGATTTACGGCTGAGCTTCTGCTACCCTCCCCCTAATCCTCTAATGGTCCAGAGGTGGGGAACCTTTTTACTACCATGAGCCATTTGAATATTTATAACATCATTCTCAGGTCATACAAAATTATAAACTTAAAAATTAGCCTGATTGCCCTGGCCAGTTTGGCTCAGCGGCTGGAGCGTCAGCCCATAGACTAGAGAGACCTGGGTTCGGTTTCCACTAACCTCACCTCAGTTGCAGTTTGTCCCTGAACCCTGTTGGGGTCATGTGGGTGGCAGCCAGTCCATGTGTCTCTCTCGAATCAATGTTTTTCTCTCTCCCCCTCCCACTCTATCTGAAGATAGATGCAAAAATGTCCCGGGTGAGGATTTAAAAAAAAAAAATTAGCCTGCTTGCCCAGTCAGTGTGGCTCAGTGGTTGGGCGTCAGCCCATGCACCAAGAGGTCACCGGTTCAATTCCCAGTCAGGGCACATGCCCAGGTTGTGGGCCCGATCCCCAGTGGGGGGCATGCAGGAGGCAGCCAATCGATGTTCTCTCTCATCATTTGATGTTTCTATCTGTCTCTCCCTCTCCCTTCCTCTTTCTCTAAAATCAATAAAGAAAAAAAAATTTTTTTTAATTAGCCTGCTATATTTGGTCAGGCTAATTTGGTGAGGCATGTGATGTTAGCTGGTGTTGATTTTGTGGACTTTATGTAGCTCACGAGCTAGATGTTCCCCACTCCTGCTTCTAACCCCTTCACCATTTCCCAGCTCAGTGTGAGATATTCAGAGGCCCCAGGATGGGAGGCTAGGTGATATAACCTTAGGACAGGGGCCTTTTTAAGAATTTGCCTTGTTAAGGATTTGTGTGTGTGTGTGTGTGTGTGTGTGTGCGCGCGCGCGCACACACACACACACTTTGCACATCTGAAGGATGCATATGTAACCCAGATCAGATTTCCAGCTTGATCTAAACGCTGCAGGAACAGCAGCTTTTAACATACTCTCTTAAGGAAGAAAGAGAAGGAAGGAAGAGAGGAATGCAGGAAAGCAGGCCTGGCATGAGGACCTGTTAATAGAAGTGGGTTCAATTCCTGTGCTGTGTGGCCTGGAAAAAGTTACTCCACTACTTTGGGCTTCCTGCTGTGAAGAGGAAGCAGGAGGATAAAGTGGGGGCCCGAGAGCTGCTGGAAGCATGGACAAGATCAGGAGTCAAACTACCGAAGACATAAGTCTGATCAAGGCATGAGTTGCCCTGGCTGGTTTGACTCAGCGGTTGGAGCGTCGGCCTGTGGACCAGAGAGTCCCGGGTTTGGTTCCTGCTAGGGGCACATACCAAAAAAATAAATAAAATAAAACTTTAAAAAAAAGCATGAGTTGGACTAACCACCCCAGCCCAGAATTAGAGGCAGGAGGAGGTAACAACCTGGGGGTTTTCCTGAGAAGTTTTCCTGAGCTGAGGCTTGACTGATGTGCTGGGAGGCAACAGAGATGGAGAGGTGAAGGAGTGTGCGGTTTGTAACCCCTAAACCTAGGCTTCTCAAACTGGGGATGCAGGGATGAGGCCAGAAATCTCATGATAAACAAAGATGACTCAAAATTTGGGAAATGGAAGGAACATTTTTATTAAAATGAACACAAGCCAAATGTGCAAGAATTTATAAGATTTAACCTGAGCCTCAGAAGACAGTGGTCTTTGAAGGGTAGCTCTTTGCTAGCCAAGCCCCCAAAGTCCAGGTGTGGGGGGCATCTGAGCCCTGCAATCTTTCAGGGTATTTTTGTGAGACAGTGTGCAAACCACTCTTGGGCAATGGGGAGCCATGACAGGTTCTAAGCAGGGGAAAGATAAACATAAAGGTTCTCTGGCTTGGAGTGGTGTTACAGAACTAAAGGTGGATCAGCTGGAGGTAGGGAGTATCCAGGCCTAGAGTATGAGACTTCCCCTGTCAGTTTAACCTAGATTAGGGGGAGGCTGCACCCCTGAAATTGGGATGCAAAACTGAATGTTTCTGGGAAACATGTCAGGACTCAAGTTTCTCCAAAGCTGTACTTGATTCCCCATTGCGGGACCCTCATAAAGATAAGTACAGCTGGTCCCAGGACAAGAAAAGGATGTGAAAATCATATTTACAGGGAGCATTTACTGAGTGTTGCATGGTATAGTTATCCCGTTTTACAGATGAGGAAACAGGCCCAGAGACAGAGAGGATTCCTGTGAATGTGAGGGAAGTCCTAGCGCCACGGGGACGTGGTCCCCAGCTTGACCCGTTCCTCACTCTGTCCCCAGGTGGAGGAGGAGCTGACGCATCTCCAGAAGAAATTGAAGGGGACGGAGGACGAGCTGGACAAGTATTCAGAGAACCTGAAGGACGCACAAGAGAAGCTGGAGCTGACGGAGAAAAAGGCCTCGGACGTACGTGCGCAGGAATGCGGCGGCCGCGGCGGGGCCGGGCAGGAGCCTGGGGCAGAGAGGGAGGAAGAGGAGGAGAAGGAGGTGGAGGCGGTGCCTCCCTGCGCTTTCTCCAAATAAGTCCCGAAAAAGGGCATTTTCCAGCAGCTGCGGCCAGCGGTGCCGACGTCAGGCCCTCCCCCAGCGGTGCTGACGTCGGCGGCCGGGCCGGGTGACCTCATCGCCCCGACGGCGGCCGGGCCAGGGGCGGGGAGGGGCGGGGAGGGGCGGGGGCGTCACCAGCGCAGGCAAAGGCTCGGGGGCTGGGGCGCGGCTGCTGCAGCTTTCGCCGAAGCCAAGTGTCGCCAAGCCGAGCGCCCGCTGCGTGCGCCCCCGCGCCTCCTTGCCATGGCCGGCCTCAACTCCCTGGAGGCGGTGAAACGCAAGATCCAGGCGCTGCAGCAGCAGGCGGACGAGGCGGAGGACCGCGCGCAGGGCCTGCAGCGGGAGCTGGACGGCGAGCGCGAGCGGCGCGAGAAAGTGAGAGCCGCTCCCAGATCCCCGCCCCGGCCCCGCGTCCCCCATCCCTGGCCCGGCGTACCCCCGGGTCCCGAGCTCCCCTGCTAATCCCGCGCGCCCTCCTTTCTTCCCTTCTCCCGGCGCCTCTCGCTTCCCGCGCTCCCGCCTGCCCGCCACCGCAGCCGCTGTCCACCCCCCAACCCTCCTCAACCAGCCCTCGCGCCCCCAGCCTCCGCTGCTCCCGATCGCGGACCCACAAACGCCCACCACTCCCACCCCACCCCCTGCCTGGGGTTGGTGAGACCCCTGCCTCCCCGCCCTCCTCCTTCCCGGGCCTGGGACTGAAGAGGGAGCGCCGCAGCCGGGTTGGGTTGGGAGGGGCCGTCCTAGCGGGAAATGGGGGTGGGGGTGGGGGGATGTGGCCGAGGGCTTGTGCGACCCCGGAGTGGGTTAGGGGCACCAAGCAGCCATCCGGCTCCGGCCGGCGCCGGGATCCGGAGGGGGCGGGGGGACCCGCGGCTCCACCTAGGAGCGGGAAGTGAGAGTGGAAAGAGCTTCTATTGTCTGGGGTTGGACTGGGGTCGGGGAAGGTTGCGTCGCACTCTCGCCTCTTCTGAGGCTTCCCGGCTCCCGCCGAACTTCCCAGCTGTTCCCAGAGGCGCGGTGGCGACGTGTCTGCTTCTGGCAATGGGCGGAAGTTCAGCCCTGAGCAGTCGGCTTTTCGCTCCCCAGCTGGTTCCTGCTGGAACCAGGGCTGCGGAGGGGACCTTGCCTTCCTCCAGAGGGCCCTCGGAATGTTAGCAAGGGGCGATCGGTCTGTTACCTCTGCTGCGTGTCGCGGGGCCTAAGGCAGATAAGGGGGCTGAATAAGGAGAGGGGGTTTTTGCCCTCTCCATCCTCTGACTGTCCCTCGGGATGGGACAGACTGTGGCAACCCCTGGGGCTGGTGAGAGATCTGGATTCTAATTCCATCTCCTACCAGTAGGTACTTAACCCCTAGGAGAGAGTCGTCGTCTCCCCCACCCCCGCCTATAAAATAGGGGTGATAATAATGACAACTTCCTAGGGTAGTTGGGATGGTCCCAGGAGTAAAACTTCCCAGCGTGCATCTGGCACATGGTAGGTGCTCCATTCCTGTGTTTTTTCCTCCTCTCCCTCTATCCCCAGAAGAGCTCACAGTCTAATAGGGGTAAGGGGGACAGAGGTTCAGTTATGGGAGCATGACAGGGAAGAGGCCATCCAGTGGAGCTTCAAAATGGAGATTGAGCAGGAAATTCTGTCCCAGAATTTTCTGGGACAGGACACCTGGTTGTGGAAAGACTCAAAGGCAAAAAAGTTGGGGGAGAGGGTGGAAGCCAAGGGACCCTGAAAGCTGGAATGTTGTGACTCAGGGTGGGGACTCCAGAAGTGGAGAAGATGCCCGGGAAGGTTGAATTGCCATAAGTATCGAGCCCCAGACTGCTTTAGGGTTGGCCCGAGTTGCAGCCTTTAATCCTGTAAGCCTACAACAGTAGCTGGTTTGGCTTCTTTCGCACACGGAACCAGCGTAATCCTCCCTCTGATCTCATCCCAAATCCTTTCACTGGAGGACAATTACTTCTGCTTAAAAATGGCCCTCAGCCGAGAGCCAAGACAGGAGTGGGACGTCCATTTGGGAGGAGAGATGTTTTTGGAAAGTTGCAGACATCTTATAAAGTTCACTTTTCAAAGCACACTTGGTCAGGAGGGGGAAAGCCTGAAGAAGTTTCCTGGGCAAAGGAATGGGGCCCCAGAGCGGGGGGGAAAAAACTCTTTCTTAGTTGCCTGTAGAGAAAGCCAAGAGCCGGCGTGTGGCAGACTTCTGGGGCTGACTCCAACAGCTGGTTTCATTTAGATTATTGTGTGATTAACCGACATCTTCCTGTTCCTTGGCCACATGTATCTAGCAAGCCTCTTTTACCTTATAAGGGAAATCCTTTGTAGAGTGTAGAAGCTTTGATTGCAGGAAGGGGTGGAGCCCCAGATGACTAGCAGTGACTAGCAGTTTTTCAAAAATACATATATATGTATGCATCCATACAGATGAATGCATCTCAGAAATCTTTAGATTCTAGATAGTTGAAAATGTGCCCAAAGCCTGGTTGTCAGGATTCAGAATCCCCAATATAAGGAGCCACTCACTTTTTTCTTAGAGACAACTCCTAAATCAAGCTCCCCTGTATGATTTTAAAAATCAATTCCTTAACTGCTAACAGGTATAGGATTTCTTGTTGGGGTAACGAAAGTGTTCTGGAATTAGATAGTGATGTTAATGGCACAATTTTGTGAATGTACTTAAAAAACAGTGGGGGAGCCTGGCCGGTAGAGCTCAGTGGTTGAGCATCCACCCATGCACCAAGAGAGGTCCCCACCAGTTCGATTCCAGGTCACAGCACATGCCCAGGTGGTGGGCTCAATCCCCAGTGGGGGGCTCTCTCATAGATGTTTCTATCTCTCCCTCTCTCTCTAAAATCAATAAAGAAAAGAGGAAAAAAAAACAGTGGGGGATGGGATTCAATTTGTGCTCAGTTGCTAAAGGAGTTAAGATTCATGTAATTTAAGAAGAATAAAAGGCACTCATTGGAAGGAGTGGGTGACATTTCTTAAAAGAGTTCATCAGTGGTTTTTAATGGATTCGCAGAGGAAGCTGCCATCAGAAACACCTGTGGGAGCTTCCCCTCCATCTGCTGCTAGAACTTGGGCGCTGAGAAAAGTTGCCTGATTCTTTGTGTTTTGCAGCAGCTCTGGCCTAATTCCATTACTCCATAGTTTTGCTGTTCGAAAGGAGCAAGGAAGGGAGTGGTTTCTCACTCATTTTTACATCCTACCTCAACTCAGATTTACTTTTCTTGATATGAAGATGCCAGTGTGGCTTTACCTGGACCTTCATGTATTCTTTTGGTTGAGCCCCGTTTTCTCCTACTCTCAATATCCCTTCCTGAGTATGGCTGGCCTAGATGCCCAGGACTTCGAGGTTCAGGGTGCAGGTTCAGCAAGGAAAGAGCCCTGGACTAGAGCACAAAAGGCCATTCCTTACCAGTTCTGTTGCACTGACCAGAACTACTTCACTTCACTGGGCCTCTCTGTTTTCCTGTCTGTAAAATGGGTGAGATATGGGAGGATTAAATGAGGTGAAATCATGGCCATAAGAGCTGCCCTTCAGGGGAACTTAACCACAAGCCAGTACAACACCTCACCCTTCAGTGACAGTCCCCAGAGCAGTGTGAAGTAACAAGGCAGGAGGGATACGATAGGAAGGCTCAGAGCTGTGAAGCAACCAGCCCAAGCCAGGTGGCTACAAACTGGCAAAGGGAGCCAACACTTTTTGGTCCTGGAGTTCTTGCTTTTATGCACACCCTACCACATTACCTTGTAGGGGAAAACACCTTGAAAAGTCAGTAACACTATTCAGACATCTTTTCCATACCTGTAATCAAGATTTCTTTCCTTCAAATTTTGTCCTGTAATTTCTTGGCCAGACTTAGTTGAGGATGGTGTTCCATCTGGGCTGCCTTCTTCCCCGGAGTGTATGGCCAGGATTTAACTGAGAGCTCCATATTCTTGCATATATCTTGCCGTTGAGGTGACTGGGAGCAGACCTGATTATGTGACGGGATGAGCCAGGTCCCTGGTGGCCTTGTTCCCTAAGAATCCCATGCACAGAGGGGCCAGCACTGTCCTCTCACAATATACAGTATACTTGGTTTCTTCCATATTGACTTGACTACCCACCCTATACTGGGACACACCTCATCGTTGAGGGGCATGTGTTCCCTCATGTTTTCAGGGGAGATCATACAGAAAGTACATTCTCCGGAAAAGAGTGTGAATTCCTTACTGCCTGGATTCCTGGGTGGGCTCTGGTGGGGGATCGGGTTAGCTGAGGAAAGGCCACTGTGAGGGGGCTTCCCCGCTGCTGGCCTGTTACCTCCTCACCTGGCTGCACCTCTGACCTCCCCAGGCTGAAGGGGATGTGGCAGCTCTCAATCGACGCATCCAGCTCGTTGAGGAGGAGTTGGATAGGGCTCAAGAACGACTGGCCACGGCCCTGCAGAAGCTAGAGGAAGCAGAAAAGGCTGCCGATGAGAGCGAGAGGTAAGGATGCTTTGAACCTGGTGGCTTCTGGGAAACAGATCTGAATGGGTGGCTGACCTCATAGAACTGGGGTGAGAGTAAGAACAATCACATGACATGAACATGCACACATACAGTGTGTGACAGTGTCTTGAAAACCTTCACACTGTGTATAGAGGTGTTTGTCATTGTGATGACGGAAAAACTCCCATCAGGCAGAGGAAAGGGGAAATAAAAAGGCAGATAAGCCCTGGCCGGTTTGGCTCAGCGGTTGGACCGTCCGCTTGCGGTCCGGAGAGACCCGGGTTCGGTTCCCGCTAAGGGCATGTACCTCGGTTGCAGTTGTTCCCGGCCCTGGTTGGTCGTGCGGGTGGCAGCCACTCGATGTGTCCCTTTCACATCGATGTTTCCCTCTCTCTCTCTTCCTCTCTCTCCCTCCCACTCTGTCTGTACAAGAAATGGAAAAGTGTCCTCGAATGAGGATTAAAAAAAAAAAAAAAAAAGGGCAGATAAAACTGCAAGTATTACTGCAATGGTGATCAGTTTGCAGAATCTGAAAACCACTGTGTATCTCATCCAAGTTCTCAAGACATCAATTTCCAAGGTGATGTGAGAAGGGGGCAGGTAAAAACTTGGAACAGGCCATGCGTAGATGATTGTTAACAATGCTGTTGGGCAGGCTTTGGGCTACTGGACGGCTACACAACATGTCAGGGACATGCACAAACTTGCAACTGACTGCTTCTGTGGCATGAGCACTGCATTTGGCCTCCAGCAGGGTGCTCCATCTTCTGGAGCATGACAGTTTTCTGGCACAATTACCTCGGATTGTGATTCACAGAAGCAGCCATCTCTGTGTGGTGTAAATGTGTTCCTTGGGTGGCAACGGTGTGGGTGAGGCCAGTGGTCATTGCAGTCTACCACACGATCCTACCAGAATGACTCCAAAGGAGTTGTTCCTGATTGAGCTGCTGTGACCATAAACCAGAGATTAAGGACCAACTGGGGAATCTTGAAGATCAACTCTGGGAGTTGCCCAAGCAGGACATTTCTCCCCATGCAGAGGAATACCCATGCTGAGGGTAGAGACCCCAGGGCAGATTCTGCTTCAGTCACTTAGAGTTGATGAGGAGGCAGCCATGGAGGTGTGAAGGATCCTGTCTCAAGGTGCTCATGGCTGGGTCTGGGGCTTGGGTTAGCTGCTTCCGTGTGCACCATCAAGCCAGCCTGGCTGGATGTCTCATTTTCGAGATGTCCGCAGGGCAAACCCAGAAAGCCTGGGATTGCTCCTCACTTCTGTCATGTCACCAGAAGCCTTTGGTGACACTGGTGTTGGAAACTGATGTTTTTTGGTAAAGGGCGTTTTATATTTAGGAGCTGGAGAATCTAGGTTCAGGTCCTGATGCTACTTGCTACGTGGCCTAGGGCAGGTCACTTTGATCTCTTCAGGACTGCAGAGGGCTTTCCAAGCTTGCTCACATGCTAATCTTGAGGCCTCTACAGGTGTGCAGGGTGTTGTGACAGCTGTGAATGGTAGTGTCAGCCCAAGTGGAAGTATTTATGAGACAGCAGAAGTATGTGCTCCTCTGCTCTGGGTGGGCACTATACACATTGCTACGTTACCCTAGGTCAGCCTCTTTGGAGGTGCTGATCTTACCTGGATCACTCCAAGCAGTGTGGGCCAGTGTCAGCTTATTTCACGGTCAGCCAAGTGAATTATGGGAGACTTCCAGCTGTCTTTAGGAGGTATCCACTGCAGGCTCTCCTCGCCCCACATCTTGTTGGTACCCGGGTCTTACCTTGGCTTACCACTGCAATCCATTCATCATTCTGGTTTCCACTCACTCATGGTTTTGAAACCTTCAAGTGCCCAGCCTATGGTCCCACCACCCTGGCCTTCTGCTGTGTTTTGACGTTTCTCTGGAGCTTTCATGTGCAGCTTGCTCACTGAAGAATACCTTTCCCCTCCTCATTCACTTGTGGACTCTCTTCTGGAAAGCCTTCTGTGATATCCACACCCCCACCCCACCCCTACTGCAGCAGAATCCATCTTTCCTGTAGCCAAGCTGGCCCAGACCTCTAATCACATTATAGTAACAGTTGGAGTACAGGTGCACCCTGTTGCCAGTTAGAGGTGATTTAGGATGGGGACACAGCCCAGCCAGTGTGGCTCAGTGGTTGAACATCAACCCATGCACTGAGAGGGCCCTAGTTCGATTCCCAGTGGGTGCACATGCCTGGGTTGTAGGCTCGAGTCCCAGTAGGGGGAGTGTGGGAGGTGGCCCATCAGTGTTTCTCTTTCATTGATGTTTCCATCTATCTCTCCCTCTCCCTTTTTTCTCTAAAAATCAAATAAAAACTTGAAAAGAAAATAGAATGGAAACACAGACTCCGAGCCAGACCACTAGGTTTGAGTCCGAGCTCTGCACTTGGTAGCTATATAACCTTGAGCAAATTACTTTGCCTCTCTGTGCCTTGGTTTCTTCTGTGAAATGGGGACAATGTACCTGCTACATCATGGGGCAGTTTTGAAGTTTAAGGCACTTAGAGCAGTGCCCAGCATTCCGTAAAGGTGAAAGGTGCATGTGAGCAGCTCTACAATTTTCTCTTTGGAGTCTGGTTTTTAGCAGATGTCTGAGAAGTGCTTAGATGAGTAGGTGCGTGGAGGTGTGTGATGAGGCGGTACTGTGTGTATGGTGGTAATGACGAGATTGCTTCTTGCAGAGGAATGAAGGTGATAGAAAACCGGGCCATGAAAGATGAGGAGAAGATGGAGATCCAGGAGCTGCAGCTCAAAGAGGCCAAGCACATTGCAGAGGAAGCTGACCGCAAATACGAGGAGGTGAGTGGGGCTGGCAGATGGCGGCAGCAGCAGGAAGTGGGGAAGAAATGCATGTGTGATAGGGAGACCCTGGGGCCACCCAAAGGAAGCTCTCGGTTAGGTCAGCTGTCCATCTGTATCCACATCTGTTTTTCCAGAAACACCACTTGGCTGGAAACTATCTTCCACAATGCCGAAAGGTCCTGGGGAATTGTGTGGTGCTTGGTCTGACTTGTTGGGGAAACCAGCTGACCAGTTCACTCTTTGTCCTGCAGCTGCATATTTTAGCACAGTTTGGCTAAAATTGGGAATTGTGGTCCACAGTCATGGGTTTTTATACAGTAAAAGCCTGCCTCCATGGTCTCAGCTCTTCCTTCCCCTCCTGTCGGTCTCACTCTTGGGAGTCAAGGGAGGGACTTTTGATGTTCTGCAGGAGTTAAAGAGGCAGAACAAAGCCTCATCTTGGCAGATAGTCTGGGTGTGCCCTCGCTGTCTGCACTGGGAGGGCATCATACTAGATGTGGCTGTTGGGGGTCAGTCTCCGACAATCCTTTCTGTCTCTGCAGGTAGCTCGTAAGTTGGTCATCCTGGAGGGTGAGCTGGAGAGGGCAGAGGAGCGTGCCGATGTGTCTGAACTGTAAGTGGCAGAGCAGCAGAGTGAAGCCCAGCTGAGCTTTTGGGTTGGAGCTGGAGGGAGTTGGTTGACACCAACCAGGGCCTCTGGTCAAGTGGTTGGGCCTCTGGGACTCTTGGCTTCTGTTGCTGATAAAGAGAGGTGGCAACTGTTTGTACTTGCTGCCCACGTTGTGACTCTTCCCACAAAGGTATTAGGAAGTAGGAGTGAGACAGCTGGTAGCAGATAGCCCAGAAGTCTCATTCTCCTAGAGAGGGTATCTCAGTAGGTGTGCTTTCTTTTTTTAAATTTTTTTTTTTTTTTAATCCTCACCTGAGGACACTTTTCCACTTTTTTATTCAGATAGAACAGAAGGGAGAGAGAGGAAGAAAGAGAGAGAGAAACATCGACGTGAAAGGGACACATCGCGCTGTCACCCACGCGACCCAACCAGGGCTGGGGACCAACTGCAACCGAAGTACATGCCCTTAGCAGGAACCGAACCCGGGCCTCTCTGGACCGCAGGCTGACGCTCTAACCACTGAGCCAAACCGGCCAGGGCTAGGCGTGCTTTCTTAACAGAAAGCTGACCTATAGAAGGCAGCGTTCCCCCCACCCCCATCCCAGTGTTTAAATGCTTTGCTTCTGAAGTCATTATTTGGCCAAGACACATTCTGAGGCGGGGGGGGGGGGAGGGGGGAGAGAAACTTGACCAGAATCCTGAAATCTCCAATAAACAGAAATCCCTTCCCCTGGGCCCTCCGGCTCCACAGAGCATCCCGCAGCACTGAGGGGTCTGGTTTTGCAAATCCATTCTGGGCTTGCTTCTTGAGTGTCCAGTGTAAATCCTGTTTGCTGTTTCCCAGCCTCCTGCTCTCCATCTCATTCTTACACCTTCCAGAGCCAGCCTCATCAATCATAGATTCCACAAGTCCCTGTTGACTCAGCCTTGGCAGGAGCCCAGGAGCACTGTACAAACCTTCCAAACACTCCTCAGCCTGCCTGCCGCGCCTTCACCTGGCACGATAGGGTTTTGATAAATACACAGTGGCTCCAGCTCAGAAAGGGCCATTAACCTTTTCCCCACATTCCCTGTGGGGGCTCCAGGCAGTGTGGATTCCTCCTTCAGAAAACTGCTTTAAAGGGAATTGCCTGCTGTAAGGGGGAATGAAACACAAAAATCCTTTGTCTTTGTGTAGAAAATGTGGTGACCTGGAAGAAGAACTCAAGAATGTCACTAACAACCTGAAGTCGCTGGAGGCTGCCTCTGAAAAGGTTGGTGGTTGGCTTTAGTTGGAGGGTGACTGGCTGGACTTTCTTCTTTTTCTTCCCCCAAGGTACACAGACACATGACAGGGTGTCAGGGATTGGACCTGTGTTTGCTAACAGCAGCTTTAGTGCCCAGCAGCTGGGTTTTTTCCCCACAGAAGGAGGTGTCTGGTGGCTGGATTTCCCTCTTCCATGGGGTGTTAGCACCATCTTCTATCTCCACTTCTTATGAGGGTTGAGATAGAATGTGAGATTGATGCCTAGTCAGGCTCCTTACAGGGAGATCTGAGCATAACCCTGTAAATACAGAGACCCACTCTCACTTTAATCCCTTGGTTCTTACAGAAAACCTTCTTGAAGATTGAGCAGCAGATATCAGAGATGAAATTGGGCTTTTTAGGTTGAAACAGTACCCAGAGTGGTCACTACAGGATAGAATCACACTAGGAACAATGTGTAGTCTTCCTTGGCTCACGCTGCTGAATTCCCTGTCCTCATCGCTTCCCCACCCTTTCTCCTCCTACTATCCTCCATCAGCGTTGCACTTCAGTGTCACAAACATTCCATGTTCTCGCATCACCTCCAGTTCTTTGAACCTGCTTTCCATTCAGCCAGGAGCGACCTTTTTCTCTTTGCTTGATAACCTCCTATTCATCCTTTCGGCCTCTGCTTAAGCAGTACTTCTGAGAAGCCTGCCCCGACTGCTCATTTAGGTTAGGCTCTTTTTGGCTTCTTGGCCCCACCTACATGTTTTCCTATCATGATGGTTAATTTCATTTATCATAATTACTCAATTAATTGCATGCCTTCCTTACTGGACTGTAAACTTTAAGGATGGGGTCCATATCTGACTTGTTTAGAGCTATATCGTTAATCCAAGCCTTGTGCTTGGCATATATTTGATATGAGGATATTTGGGGAATGAATACAGTTCAGGTGTGCATGACAATTGCCCAAGGCCACTGGGATAGATGTTACAGTGACACTATGGCCTCTGCTTCTGTGAGGGCTGCGTCTAGTGGAAGAGATTGACAAGATAACAAGGTGCTTTGGGACGTCAACAGAGGGACCCGGGGAAATGGGGAAAGGTGTCATGAGGAGATGATCTTAAAAGCTACAGAGCATGATGGTGGCCAGGAGCTCAAATTCCAGAGTAAAGTTCCAGTCATGGCTTGGTCACTTGATGGGATTGAGGCTATCTAGCAACATAGCAAGCAGTTAATATTAATCTGAGTTGAACCTTGAAAGACACATGATTTCTGCCCTGGCTGTTTTGGCTCAGTGGTTAGAGTGTCAGCCCATGGACCAAAGGGTCTCCAGTTTGATTCCCGGTCAAGGACATGTACCTGGGTTGCAGGTTCGATCCCCAGCCCTGGTCGGGGTCGTGTAGGAGGCAGCCAATCAATGTGTCTCTCGCTCTCTCCCCCCATCCCCTCTCTTCCAGTCTATCAAAAATCAATGAAAAATATCCTCGAGTGAGGATTAACCAAAAAAAAACAAAAAAAAAACGACGCGTGGTGTTAATGAGGAAAGGAACATTCTATCCCAGGGGACCCTGTCATAGACAGGGCTGGGAGACCAGAGAGTACACAAAATCTGTTGAGAAAGTAGACGGCACCCTGGGGGAGTTGGTGGAAAATGGGGTTGGAAATACAGGGCCTTGAATAGCCACTCAATCATTGGCTCTATATTCATCACACTTTTATCTCAGGTTATCAGCTCAGTACCATCCAGAGGGGTCTCCCACAGATTCCTTTTTTTAAAAGCAGGATTTTGGTTTCTCCCACAGTATTCTGAAAAGGAGGATAAGTATGAAGAAGAAATTAAACTTCTGTCTGACAAACTGAAAGAGGTGAGTGATCATGCCCAGCTGGCCAAGTTTCTCCTGGCGCTGGTCTTGAAGCAATCAGAGTGACTCCTGTCTTTTTCTTTAGGCTGAGACCCGTGCTGAATTTGCAGAGAGAACAGTTGCAAAACTGGAAAAGACAATCGATGACCTGGAAGGTATGAAATTACCATCTAATGATGTTTGCTCTGTCTCTCCCTACCTGACACATCCAAAGAGAGTTGGGGGAAGTCTGTGCAGGGTCTGAGTTGGGCTGTGTTGAATTTAAGATAGTAAATTGCAGAGTGATGTCATATCTGGAAGTCTGGAGCACTGGAAGCAGATAGTGCAAATGAAATTTGCAAATGAAAGTCACTTTTTGAGAAATAAAATATCTCTGGTTAATTAGCTCCATATGTGAGTACAAAGACCCAAATATAGCTGATTTTTTTTAATGTCTTTAGAATTTTCTTCCATTTCCTCATTTCTGAGAGATGCCTTGCATTTTTACAGAAGTTCTCTCCCAGAGTGCTCAGAGCTTATCACTACATGAGAAAATGGAAATCTAGAGAAAGTAGAGACTAAATAAAGACTCCAGTCTGCAAGCCTGGTGCCCACAGATCCCAGAATTTCTTGTAGAGTTCCTACTTTTAAAAAAAAATTCTGTCCTGTGTTCTTTATGAAATAATTTGGGAATTTCAGGCAGAATCTCCTAAGTTGCAAAACTCATTCCACAGACCATGTGTCCTCTGAACCAGGTGACATCATTGAAAGTCAGAAACAACCTGGGGCACGAGACTGGTGACCCGTGTATTTCTGGTCACCACTCTTCTAAAGTTTCATTATGACTCATCCCCTGCAGATCCTCAAACTACTTGGAAATCACTCTGTCGATCTTTTGTTTTCTTGTTTGTTTTCCATAGGGCACAACTTCCTCCTAGTTCATGCTTTGTTTTCTCACTTTTTTTTTTCTTCCTTTCATTGTTCATCTGTGGCACACCATTCCGACCCTCGTGTTCTGTCCTCTGTACCTCTTCTTCTGAACTCTCTCCCTGGGGACATCCACCTTCTAGACGAACTATACGCCCAGAAGCTCAAGTACAAGGCTATCAGCGAGGAGCTGGACCATGCTCTAAATGACATGACCTCTCTCTGAGAGGCAGCAGGGTGCTGCCCTCTGTGCTAGTGATACTGAAGTCTGCCTTCTCACTCTGGTGCCTACGCTCTCATTTTCTGCCTCCTGGTTTGATTCTTCGAGCCACCTTCTGCTGTGTCGGTGACTATGTGACCGAAATAAAGACAGACGGTCTTCGTCTTCACACCCTCTTATTTTCATTTTCTCCACTTGCCACTTTGAGCCATAATGGCTGTGATGCCCTTGACCGTGGCTGCAACAGAAAGTGGGTGGTTCAAGTGGGCTCATTTTAGAAAGAAAATTATGCCCATGTGATTTTTTTTTCTCGATGACATGAAAACAAAACCCAATTTGGCACAAGCTCTCAGACTCGGGGTTAGTTCATTGGTTCTGCATGCTAGTAGCTGTTTTTCCTTAAACAGACATTGTTTTGAGTGGATCTTCATCCACCCTTTTAAGCAGCTTCATAGAGTCAGCGGAACTTGCAGAAACCAGCAGGCCTGGGTCTAAAATGAGGCTAACCTTGAATGAGGTTTGCTCTACAACTCAAACAGTGGCAACGGCATTTTGGTCTCTTTACTCCTTCTTGCTTTTGTTTCTCTGTTATACCCCGAGAATGGTGCCTGGGGTTCCCTATGTTTTCATTGTTCAGGGGATGTCTATCCGACTCCCTGCCCTCGGAAGAAGTTCACCTACGAAGCTCATTTCTGTACCTTGCCCTTAGAAAACTACCCTACAAAGAATTAAAGAGCATCCCGTTAGCAGGGGGAAAGAATGAAAGCTGCTGGAATGCCAAAGAAAGGAAGCGAGGGGATCCTTTCCTGAGTCCCAGACAAAGTTGCCTGAGATGCTAACATCTGCCTCCCCTCATACTGAGTTAACTAGAACAGGAACTTTGCTTTGGTTGAAGAAGAACTCCTAAAGTTAGCCTGTGGTTAAAAGGTCATGTTTATAGTGACCACAAGTTCATAAAATTTTCCAAGAGAGTCCAAATTTCAAAGTCTATTCAGCCCTCCCTTGCCATCTACCCTCACCCCCTCAGGTTGTCCCAGTAACTGACATGTTGATGTCCAAGGCACATCTTCCAGACTGTCCCTCAAACCTAATAGTGGCAAGAAAATCTCCAGTCCTCAATTTAGGATCCCTGTAGCTTGTTATTCCTCATCCTGTTTGATTCAGGTGGGAAACTGTCTAATTTTTCTTTTTTTTCTTTCTTTTTTTTTTTTTTACCTTTATTGATTTTAGAGAGAGAGGAAGTGAGAGGGAGAGAGAGAGAGAAACATGGATGAGAGAGAACATCGACTGGACGCCTCCTGCATGCCCCTCACTGGGGATCGGGCCCTCAGTCTGGGGATGTGTCCTGACCGGAAATCAAACAGACGACCTCCTGGTGCATGGGTCAGCGCTCAACCACTGAGCCACACCGGCCGAACCGATTTTTCTTTATATTCACTGCTCCAAAATACATCTCCCCTAAATGACCTACACCCTTCCACTCCCCAGCATCTTCCTGTTTCTAACTGCCATCCAGCAGGAACTTCTGCATAAACCACACCCCTCACACATTGCCATACATCCACCCTTGGAAAGGTTACAGACTGTGGAGGTGGGTGTATTCTGTTTGCTCTCTCTGTGTATTTGTTCCTGGGATTTTTCCAGACATATGTGTAGCCTCCACCCTTCAAGACAGCCCTGCCTCTCCATTCATTCTGCCCAATTAAGCACATAAGTGCAACTTTTATTGACAGGGGTTGGGGCTTTGGAGATCTACTACCTGTTGATAGTCTATGGGCCTGTCATGATTCTCAAGGGCAATGAACACTTTCAGGGGAAGTTATTTTATCTCAGTTCTAATAAGAAAGTAGTTTCCAGAAATCCAGTGGCAAGATGAAGTGAGGTCAGGATTTGTAGTTGGGATATCTGGGTCTGGATTCTAGCTCTACCACATTAGCTATGTGACTTTGAACAAGCTACTTAGCTTTTCTGCAAAATAAAGGTGGTATCTTAGTTAGTGTGAGGATTAAATGAGGTAATGGAGAAATTAGCTCACACAGTAGTCAGCATCCAGTTTTCATGTGTCCTTTCAGACTGGATAGGCCTGGGTCACTGTTCTCTCTCTGATGGCATCCTCTGAGATCATCAGAGTGGCTTGGTTTTTTAGGTGCCTCGTCAAATGAAAAGTTCCGTAGTTGTATTTGAAAGGCTGCCATCTTGTGTACTTTTTTCTTTCTGAAAATTTCCAAGATGATCCTGTCACATTTTATGAGACATTTTGCTTCCCTTCAGTATTTTAATGAGTCTTAGCCTAGTCCCTTATCAGCTATCACTCATGGCAAACCAGTTCTCCCTCCTGTTCTGCCATGCATAACTCTAAATGGCATCTTACTTTTTAAAAATAAATTGTTTCATCAGCTCAATCACTTAATAACATACCAGTAGTCTGGCTTAAATTTCAATCATGTTGCATTTCCCTGGGTTTGGCTACATTGCTATGGACACATAGACACAATACCACAATTATGTGTGGAATTTCAATAGTCATTCACAGAAACTCCAAAAGAAAGATGGGTTACAGGGTTATATTTTTCTCCTAAATGCTCAAGGACTAATTAACTGGCTCTGGGGGGAAGACTAAAATCTTATATTTGTATAGCACTTCATAAGTTCTGAAACATTTCTCATAATAATCCCCATACCACACAGTGGTATTGTTATCCCCATTTGACAGATGGGGAAACGGAGACCTAGAATGGTTAAATGACTTACATCAGTGGCACAACTGAGATTTAAATCCAGGTGTTCTAACTTTAGGATTGTCAGGTATAGCAGATTAAAATATCGGACACCCAGTTAAATTTGAATTTCAGCTAGGCAATGAACACTTTTTTGGCAAATATATATCTCATGCAACATTTGGGATATACTTATACTAAAAAATTTGTTTACCTGAAATTCAAATTTAACTGAGCACCCTGTATATCCTGCAATATGATCTGACTCCTAGATTTGGTACTTGATCTCTATTATTCTGTGGTGTTCTATTATAATTAAAATTCAGAGTACTTTCTCTACCATGACTTCTGCTCTGGCAGTATGGATTTTAGGGGAACCCCCCCCCTTTAACAAAGATGCGTATTAATTTCTTTTTTTCCCACTCTTAATCCTTACCAGAAAAACTTGCCCAGGCCAAAGAAGAGAACGTGGGCTTACATCAGACACTGGATCAGACACTAAATGAACTTAACTGTATATAGCCAAAACAGAAGAGTCTTGTTCCAACAGAAGCTCCAGACCTCCATGTCTTTCTCTTCTCTTGTAAGAAGTTTCTTTTGTTACGGCATCTGCGCAAATTATGAATGTGACCAAATATTTTGTATCAGAGAAGCTTTGAGCATCAGTTAAATCTAATTCCTTCTCTCTTTTTTTTTTTTTCCCAAATGGCACCAGATTTTTTAGCTCTATTTTTATCCTTAAATTGCATTTATTTCTAAGTTAGGCAGGGTGTTTCCTATTGAATATTAATCTCTTAAGACTGAGGGCATTTGGTTTCTGGGAGATTACACAACCCCACACTTTAAAAGTACAGACTGTAATATCTAGTCACTGGTCAATTTAAAAGAATAGAACCTCAGGGCCACCGTTGGACACACTTCAGGAGGCCAGGAAAATGGGTGGGCATTTTCCATCCAGAGCAAAAAAGGTGGGGGAAAGAGGCTATTGTGGTAAGTCATAAACCACAGATAGATTAACCTAAACATTCTGGCTCTTTTCCACACTCTACCATGCAGAGCAAATATCCTCTGAGCAGTCAGCATGAGAATACTTGGGAAATAGTCATAACATTTACTCTGATATGAGGCCATTCACTCAGCAGGAATGACTATGGTAGAATTCAGTTCTGTTCAGGAAGTCATATCAAAAAGACTAAAAGCCTTCAATAATTGAACAAGAGTGTTTTTCTATTAATTATTGGGCAGAAAGGTCCTCTCTGGCAGTAGAGATAAAGTAACTGGCCTCATATCATCTGTGTACTTTAGGGAATGGTAAATTGAAGATATACTTATTTAGGACTGTAATTCCTTTGTCAGGGCCAAGTTTATAAAAGGCCAGGAAACTCCTGATTCAACTGGATATGGAGTATTTTATAGAGAAAGCTGCACATTTTGGCTTTGTTATATTTTTGCTTTCTTGGTTAACATCTCAGCTGAAACATTCCATATTCCCCAGTAGTGAGGGGAGCAACTCAAGTTTACAGTTCTGACTAAAACTCACCCTGCTTCTAGCTTATCTGACTCGTCTGCCCTTCACTCCTATTTATTACGCATCACACTACCCAGGAGATACACTAGCAAATTGTGCAATTTAATAAAACCTACACTTTTCATTTAGATTCTTGCAACTGTATCATATGTAATAGTATCACTTTTTCTACATTTTGGTCAAATAAATTTTTACATAAACTATAATTTGTGTGAATATTAGAATGTGTGGGGACATATAAGGCATTTTGGTTTAATGAATATTAACAGGATGGAGAGATAACTGTGCCATGAACTTTGCAAATTTTATTTATTAGCTTTATACCATGACTTCGTGATTTAAGGATTATGATTTCTTTAGTACAGTGAGAACACTTTGCCTCAGTAACTCAAAAGCTCCTGTCTTGTTATCCCCCAAACCTGAGCCAGGCTGTGAAGAATGAGTAGGACATTAATAGATGAAGTAGGAGCAGGAAAGATGGTCCCCGTTGCTTTAGTTAGGAAAGCACAGGCCTGTCTGGGAAAGGTTTTCTATATATTGCATATATAAAGAAAAGAAATGGGGAAAACTGGAAGGTAGGCTGGTCCACCTTGATGAGAGCCTAAACATAATTTGGTCAGGAGTGAAGAGCCACTGACATCAGGAAAATCCACTTAGCATTCATTTTCAGGAAGGATTAAATTGGGGATACACTAGAGGCAGGAAGACCAGTCAGAAAGATGTTTCAATTAATCCAGGGTAGTACTTGCCATGGAATGAGAAGGAAGAAGTGATCTGAAGGAAGTAATCTTAAGATTTAGCTGACTGGATATCAGGGAACTTAAGAAAGTGTCAAAGATGACTGCAGTTTAACTACCTGAATTGCCTTGGTATTTGCTTCAAACTCTAATCTTGAAGAAGGGGCTAGGGAATCAAAAAGAGAAATGAAAGCCTTAAAAATATTGATGCAGTATGCAAATAATGTTTTGTTACCAAGTACAATTGAACATTTCCTGCTATTCAACATTTAGCTGACACTGGGCTCGATTAGATGGTAGATGAGAATGTCAATAAAATATAATCCCCTCCTCTAAATGCCCTACCACTACTAGTTGACATTCCTTCTTCATCTCTCCCACTTCCTTGGGCTGTAGTCTAACTTCAGGATACTGTTTTAGTCATCCTTGTGCCTCAACACTGAACACAAGTGTTCAGTGTTTATTAAACTGAACTGTCACAGCTCTGGGGAGTTCCCAGTCCCAAAAAGTGTGGTGGCATACAGGGTAAGGTTAGGCCTACGTTGTGAGGACTTTATCCTGCCCATAGACCATGGGCGGATATTGGGTAAATGTTTTAGAATGAGCACACTGCAGGATGGAATCTGGATTAGAGGATGATCAGGGAATCAACAGAAGATATGATCTGAGGGGCAATGGAAATGAGCAAGATTCAAGAGCTACTTAGAACATCTTTGAAAACCAGGATGCGCGGAATAAAAGAAAAGTCTCAAAGACAACTTACATTTCAGCTAGAAGGAAACTGAGGACAAGCTAGTGTGAGTAGGTGATGAGGTCAGCTGCGGACATGCTGAATTTGAAGGATCTTTGACAAATCCAAAGGCAGATGCTGAGAAAGCAGTTGGACATGGAGAGATGGCTGGGCACTGGATTCTCTAAGAAGTGAGAATCACCCATGTGGAGAGATACTAGAAGCCACAGATGAGTGAGTGAGATCACCCAGACAGTGTGGACAGAGAACCATGAGGCATATAGAAATCTAGGGGACAAGTAGAACCCCCCCTAAAGACTGCAAGGGAATCTGACAGGCAGCACCCAGAGAATGGAAGCTGTAGGTAGTAGGTGAAGAAACAGGTAAATAAAATGGGGAAAGTGCCAAGAAAAGAATTCCCAGAATCTGTGGTCAATAGCATCAAGTACCATGGGGACTGAAGCCTACGATGTGATCTACAGCTCTCTGGTTGATTCTTTTCCTAAACAAGACAAACAGAAAAGGCTGACGTGCAAGGGAGGAGAGCCGAAGTCATCTCCTGAAAGATCCAGAAGATGCTGGGCCAGGCTCTGATGCCCCAGAGTGGCACAAAGCCTTTAGGCCATGCAGGGAATGTGGCCCATCTCTGAGAAGCAGGAAACCCTAGTGCTCAAGTCTTGGCCTCTGAAGCTTTTGAGTCTAAATTCAAAACCCAACTTCCTCCTTTGGGGCCTGGGAAAGTCAGCCTCTCTGGCCTTAGTTTTCTCACCATAAAACATGGTTAAACAGTAATAACTATCTCAGTGGGATGAAGTGGGGATTAAACATTTTAAATACTTTTGTATAACTTTCCACCATTGGTGGGCACAGAACCAACGTTCCTAAATAATTAAATTTAACTCTCACTATCCTAACCCACTGAGCAAGCTCTGAGCTCCGAAGGGCTGACGAGGTTGGGGCGGGACAAGCTCCAGAGTAAAAACTGGAGGCAGTGTGTCCTGGACAACCTCTAATTAGGTCCCTGGGCGCTCAGGTGAAGTCTTAGGTATCTTTAAATAGGTTCTCGCTTCCACGGTGATGATCCCCCTACTTTCCTCTTCGGATTCCCCTGGCCTGACGCGGAGGCCTCCAGACAACACGCCTGGCCAAAGCCACCACGCCTTCCCACACTCGCCCCGGCCTCTACTAAGCCTGCGCGGGCCGAGAAGGCGGGAGCCAGAGATCCCCATGCGCGTGCGCCCTCTGCCGGCACCTAACGGTTTCTCCGGCGCGCGTGCGCTAGCTCCCCAGGCCCCGCCCCGGGCTGCGGGGGCGCGGAGCCGTTGGCGCCGCTCCCAGCACCCCTCCTCCCCTCGGGGGACAAGGCGGAGCCTCCCTAGTGTCCGTGGAAGAAAGCGGGGATATGGACGCCACGCCCCTTGTCCTGGTCTTCATTTGAAGCCCCTAGACTCCTCACCGCTGGCCAATCACAGCCCGCCTTGTGCTGAGCGTCGGCCAATGAGGGGCACTCTCCGGCCGCTTCCGGCTCCGCGCCCCGCTCGCCCCTTCCCCAGGTCTCCCCGCGACGGGCGGGACACATGGGCGGGCATTGACACGGTGACGTGCGACAGGCTGGGAACCAATGGGAGGCGGATGGGGCGTTGATGGACGGGGCCAGCGACCAGTGGCGAGGCGCTGGCCGCACTTCCCGTCGGGGAGAGAGTGTAATATGGCGAAGACCTACGATTACCTGTTCAAGCTGCTGCTGATCGGGGACTCGGGGGTGGGGAAGACCTGTGTCCTGTTCCGCTTCTCCGAGGACGCCTTCAATTCCACTTTCATCTCCACTATAGGTAGCGGGGCCGGGGAGCGGCCGGGGTCGCCGGAAGCCCGGGTTGGGCGCGCCCCTGTGAGGCAGGGGCTGAGAGGGCGGCCGGGCCAGACAGACACAGGGATCTGAAAGGGTCGAAGGTTTCGGAGGGGGAAAGAGCTGCTTCCTCTGCCGCCGTTGGGGGTTTCTGCACCATGAAGGGGACCAAGTGCCCATTTTGCAGATGAGACTGAGGTCCCAACCTTCAGCCCGCTCTTCAGGGAATAATTTGTCTTAGGCTGGGGTCTTGGCGCCGTCATCTCATTCGGTCCTCACAGCAGCCTTGAAGCTGTTCTTTTATGGCCCCCGTCTTGCAGAAGTGAAACTGAGGCATGTGGAGTTGGCCGTGGGAAAAGGCCCGTGACATCTAACCTTATTAAGAATTTACTGTGTGCCGGCGCTATATGTTCATTGTCACACTCCCTGGTGCTCTGTGTTAAGTCTATGAGCCCATGTCACAGGTGAGGAATCTGGGGCTCTGGGAGATGTGGGACTCTTCCAAGGTCATAGTCTGCAAGTGGCAGAGATGGGATTTGAATCCATGTGTGTTTGACCCCAAAACTCAAGGTTTAGCCATCCTAGAGACTGAGAGCACATGACAGACACAGTGATCCACCTTGGAGCCAGGACTCTAACCCAGACCTCTTCTGCTCTTTCTTCTGGAATATTCAGGGGTTAGCACCCTCTTCCCCATGGGTGAATTTCTTATAGAAGGAATGGTGAGAGGGAGTCCAGAATCTTTCCCTGCCCTGCCTTCTATCCCACTTAAGGGCCACAGCAGTGGCAGGTGACAGCTGCCTTCCCTGGGACCTGTCATCCCGAGGAGATGCCAGATAAAAGCTTCACTGAGAAACCCAAATCAGCCGCTACCACAGACAGCCCTGACTTCCCTATCGCTAGGCCCAGGACACCGGTTGTCACTTTGCAGAACAGCGTTTCCTGTGAGGCCAGCCCACATTGTGGTTGAACAGAATCGACTTGTTGCTTTTCAGCCTTGATAGCCACAAAAGTGGAGTTGACTTCTCACCACACCACAAAAACAGCTATTAACCACGTGAAATGTTTTGACCTGGGAATAACACCAGTCTATGCAGCCTTGCTCTGCAGTAGGGAGTCAGAAGAACAATGGTCAAGCCCAGGAATTGTTTCTGAATGGAGAAAACCTAGGGAACAGGCTCTGCCTTACCCCTGTGTAACTTGAACCCAGACAAGTTTTTCTCCTGAACCCCACAATTAGCTGCTGATTGTCCTCCTCCAGGAGCTGCACTTTTCAAAATAATTAGGTGCCAGGTGCAAAGTGGAGGAACTCTTCATGCCTAGTTTCCAGCTGTTCACTCTTGAACAATCACTTCACCTTTCTGAGCCCTGTTTTGGAGTGATGCTCACTGTCTTGCTTCTTGCCTTTGGTGGTTGAGGATCAGAATTGTATCGTGAATAGGAAATTGTCTCTAATGCATGGCAGCAGAATGGTTCTTATAGTGACAGCATTCCTTCCCAGGGTGCGGGTGTTTCTAATTCCTTCCCCTCCCCCACTCCAAGGTCAAGCTTTGGTATAACCCTTGTGCCCCTACCAATCAGGAAGTGATGTTAACACCTGGCAAGCTGTGGGTCACTCACAACCCAGATCTCAGTTTCCTAGTATCAGAAACTTCTCATTCAGTACAAGCACTAGTAAGATCAGTTCAGGGGTGGGTTTTTTGTTCGGTTTTTGATTCTTGACTAGAAAATCCAGGCTGGCGCTTTAGGGCTCTGAGGAGGCTGGACTCCACTTGCAAGAGACCATGACTTAGGAAGGTAAAGGGGGTACTTGAAGGTAGAGGTGGCACTTGGGAAGGTAGAGATGGCACTTGAACCAGGATCTCTCCCTCCCACTCTGTTTTTGCCTCATGACACTTGTAGCCTTCCTGCAGGTCTGTATCTTCTGGAAAAGTTTAATTTACTGTGACCTTGAAGTTATAGCCTCATAATTCTTGGGCCTTGTAAAGTTTATACTTCCTAATTAAATTTGGTGTGTTAATAAAACCCAGGAGGAGAATAGGACAGAGTGATGTGAGGCTCTGCCGGTTGAATGGTGCTTCTTGATTTCATAGATCCCAGTGCATCTGCGATGGAGGGGGTGTGTTTTAGGAAGGGATGTCACTGGGCCACTGAGTCCTGAAATGCAGCTTAATGAATAAAGGGGGTTCTCCATTAGCACTGAGTGTATCTCTGGGTTTTCTTTATAGATCAGAGATTAAGTGGCTGTTCATTTTTTGCCCAGATTATGTTTTGCTAAAGCCTGTTCTCATAAGCTCCATTGATTATGGTGTGAGTTTGGCTCTGTGGTTACTGGAATTGATTCTCCCCAGCCTGGCTCAGCCCCCACCACCTCCTCGGGACCCCATTCATTCATTTCTTCAGGGGGACAGATGACATAGGGGAAAGTGCTGTGTGAACCATGCACCACCCAGATCCCATTGCTCTTAATTTTTTCATGCAGTCATCTTTCCCTGACACCTGCTGCTAGGCATCTGCCTTGGTATGTGGGCTAGAGAGATGACTTGGATGAATCAGAGGGAAACAAAACTGTAACAAGGCCTATAGTCAAGATGTGTGTATAGAACTGGGCAGTTGGCTTCTAGAAAGTACATGTTCAGCCCTGGCCAGTTTGGCTCAGCGGTAGAGCATCAGCCTGCGGTCCAGGGAGGCCTGGGTTCGGTTCCCGCTAAGGGCATGTACCTCAGTTGCAGTTTGTCCCTGGCCCTGGTTGGGTCATGAGGATGGCAACCACTCGATGTGTCCCTTTCACGTCAATGTTTCTCTCTCTCCCTCCCTCTCTCCCTCCCCACTCTATCTGAACAAAAAATGGAAAAATGTCCTCGGGTGAGGATAAAAAAAAAAGAAAAGAAAGAAAGTACATGTTCAGCCCCTTCCACACTGTCATTGGGTATGTGGCCATAAAACTTCTGAGTCCCTGCCCTCCTGGAACTTATGGTCTAGTGGTCACAATTCAAGTGCAGGCTTATATTCTATGTGGTCCCAGGACAGATCCTGATGTGGGCAGGGATGGAATTAACATTGCTGTCATGGATTCTGAGGGTTCAAGTCAGGCCTGAGCCTCAAGGCTTCACAGGCAGAGATTTAGAACAAACTCACAGAGGCAGAGGCTGGGTTTGGCTGTTTCCCTCACACAGGCCATTCAGATCTGCAGGTTTTGCTCTTAATGTTCTTGGAGCAAATAACCAAATAGACAACGTCAGGAATAAATTCATGAAGAAAAAAAAGCAGGTAGAGGAGAAAGAATGGTCAGGAAGGCTTTCCGGAGCAGATGACTTGAACAGTGACCTGAGTGAAGGGAGGGAAGGAAGCTAGGTGATCATGGAAGGAAAGACCATTCCAAGGGAAGGAAGAACAAGAGTAAAAGCCTGAGGCCAGAGTATACTTGGGATGGTTAGGAAGCAGCCACCTAGGCAGTGTGGCCAAGATGTGGCTAGAGAGGACGGCATGAGCTGTGGGTGCTGAGAGGTGACCAAGTTAGACAGGCAGCTGTTTTCACTTCAGCCAAGGGTGTGGTGAGAAGCAACGGTAAGGTGTTTCGAGTTTTTGTAACAGTTTTATTGAGATATAATTCACAGACCATACACCTCATTCGTTTAAAGTGTACAATTTGGTGGCTTTTACTCTATGGCCAGAGTTGTGCGACCATCACCACCATCAACTCTAAAACACTTCTATTATACCAAAAGAAACCCCAAACCCCTTAATCACACCACCCTACCACCTACCCATGGGGCCCCATCTCCTCATTCCGCTCACAGCCTCTGGCAACTGCTAATCTCCTTTCTGTCTCTCTGGATTTGCCTGTTTTAAACATTTTATATAATGGAATCATACACTATGTGGCCTTTTGTGTCTGACTTCTTCCACTCAGCATGATGTTTTTAGGGTTTATCTATGTTATGATGTGTGTCAGTGCTTCGTTTCCTTTTCGTGGCTGAGTAATATTCCATTATGTGCATATACCATTTTATATATTCATTCATCTGTTGGGAAACCCATTGGAAGGTTTGGAGCAGAGTTTAGCTTTGTGATGTGGTTGAGTTTGTGTTTTCAGAAGCTGGGGAAGGGACTGAGGGAGCAATGGTGGGAGCCATTAGAGCAGCCAAGGAAGTTAAGAGTCGCCCCGGTCCTCAAGAAAGGGACTAAAGCCCAGATGGGTGGGAGAGTGGAGGGCAGAGTCAGGAAGGCTTCTTAGGAGGTGACTTTAAAGTGGCTCTCAAAGGAGAGAGAAGTTTGCCAGGCTGATCGGTGGGTTAGGTGGGGACCACCACAGAGAAGGAACAATATGTGCAAAAGCTTGAGCCTACCTGTATCGGGCATCTTGGGGCCTATTGCCCTGAGTGCTTGGAGGGTCAGGGGCGGGGTGGTGGGAAATGTGGGTCTCTGGCCTGCAAAAGGCTCTGCTAGGCCCACTCCTTAAGGCTGCCTGTTGGGAAGGGAAGAGAGCAAGCCTTTGGCACCGGAGCTACCTAGGTTTGCTCACCAGCTCTGCCATCTGCCAGATTCACTACAGGCAACTCCTGCCCACCCTCTGAGCCTCAGCTTCTCCTTTCCTGAGATGAGAAAGTTATCCAGGTGCCTCCTAATTTGTTATGAGTATTCCAAGATCCTTTGTTCTCAGTGCTAGGGGTGGCAGCTGTTACCTGCACAGGTTGGAGGTGCCTCCTTCAGATGCAGCTTGGGAAATGGGCTGGCAGTGATGTGCCCTTTTTTTCTTTTCTTTCAGGAATTGACTTTAAAATTAGGACCATAGAGCTTGATGGCAAGAGAATTAAACTACAGATATGGTAAGAGTCATTGCATTCTTTACCCAGAGAACATTTAAGCAGAAGTCCCTGGGGTCCCCTCCCACTCCCTATGACCATGGCCTCCATCTCTTTGTGTCCAGCCTAGATACTTTCTTCAGGAACTTCAGGAACTGTTGTCTGCTGGCTATCGGGGCTACAGTCTATGTCAGCACCTTCTGGGAACATAGCTACAAGTCCCCACTAGCTGAGCATGGGTCTGGGCATGAGAGTGGCCTGTTCCCATTGAACTTGGAGAGAGCCCTCCGTGCCTGACGGTGGTGGAGGCTGCCAGGAGGGCGAGATGCCCCAACTGGCATTTCCTTCTGAGCCTTCAGCTCACTGAGGAAGGCCTAGATCACTTCTTCTTTTCTCTCCCATGGCAGCCCAGGCCTCACTTCCTAACAGGCAGATCTGAAACCCCAGGACCAAAAATAAGCTGAGATCAGCTCTCACCTGGGGCTGACTTCTACGCCACACAAAATTAGAGAAGTGTGAGTCCTCGGCACTGATGCTGGTCTGCAGCCCACAGCTCTGAGAGCTTAGGCTGAACTCAGATGGTCAGGTGTAGGGAAGCATGAGCTTGCAGGGAAGTGTGAACCCTGAGCAAAATAAAGAAAAGTCATATTTTGTAGGGTGGCACCATCTCTTTGGTCCAGAACAGCACCTGTGTGTAGGAGGGAGTGCCTTGAGATGGTCTATAAAGCTGCCCCCTTCCTCTTGCAACTCAATTTCCTCCATAGCTCGATCCCCCCATCCTCAAATCTCAGAGCATGAGCATCACTCCTGCTTGTTTCACAGTCCCCCTCAACTTCATTGGTATTCACCTCTGAATCTGATTTCAGAACCAGTATCTGGATGAGGCCTAAAGCCTTGCCCATCCTTCAGAGCTCCTAGTCTGTCAGCTCTGGCTGCCTTGTAAGTTACCACCTTGTAAGTACAAGCCATACAAGTTCCTCCACTTCCAGCTTGTGTTCCCCAGCAGCCTTGGTGCCCAAGTTCACAGTAACACTGTACCAGGAGGCAATTTTGCTTTCCTTTCTGTATTCCTGCTTCTGCTCTTAGCAATCTCAGTGGGGTTAGTGACTTTCTTAAAACTTCAAGACCAGGCCATGATTGAGAATAAAATGATTAACCACACATGTCACCTGCCATTGGCATCAGAAACTATCGGCTTAGCCCCACATGAGGCTAAGTCTAGGCATGCAGATCCTTCTCAGGGTTGGGGGTTGGGGGCTAGGGGGATTTGGTACAGAGTTGCAGGAGGAGCCCTGGGCCCAGAGACAAGAGACATGACCCTGGCTCTGCACCAATCTGTTAAGTCACCTTTAAGCCAAGCACTGAATACCCTCCATGCTAGGAGCTGGGCTGGGCACAGGCACGTCAATGAGGAAGGACTTTCTCCCTAGCCTCTACCAAGATGGTGTGAATGTGCTTCCTGAGTCCCCACGGAGGTCACCACAGTGAGGACTGAGTTCCCATGTTACATGACCAGTCCCTTCCACATTTGTGGTCCCAGATTTTTACAAATATAACATCCAATCATGGTTCTTCTGTGACCCAGAAACTCCAGGGTGAACCCCCAGGGAGCAGAGGTGCAGAGGAGGTGGCTCTGTCATCCTCCTCAGTTGGTAGACATCAGCAGGTTCTTAACCTGTCTGAGCCACAGTTTCCTTCTCTGTAAGAACAGGACAGTGAATCAGAGTTGACCCGTGAGAAAGTCAGGCATCTATCCCTGGTAAATGCTCCTTGTTCTCACTGTGATCACATCACTAATATCTCTTTTCCTCCTTCTCGTCTCCAGGGACACAGCCGGCCAGGAACGGTTTCGGACAATCACAACAGCCTACTACAGGGGCGCAATGGTATGGATTGGTGTTTTTTGTTTTTTGGTGTGTTTTTATTTGTTTGCTTGTTTTTTTAAATCCTCACCGGAGGATGCTTTTCCATTATCTTTAGATAAAGTAGGAAGGAGAGAGAAACATCGACGTGAGAGAGACACATTGATTGGTTGTCTCCCGCACAACCCAACCAGGGCCGGGGACTGAACTGCAACTGAGGTACGTGCTCTTGACTGGAATCAAACCCGTGACTCTTTGGTCCAAGGGCTAACCCTCTGACCACTGAGCCAAACCAGCCAGGGCTGGTGTTTTTTGTTTGTTTGTTTTTTTGAAAGCCAAAGTGAAAGTCACTGCTTGAATTACCAAAACCTGGCCATTTCTGAGGAGCCCCATGATCTGGCTCCTTGGGGGTCCTTGGTCCCAGGGTAAAGTTTTAGGAAAAGACTGTGTGTCTCTCCCCCATATACATATATCCCCTTCTGGCTTCAGAGACAATACAGGGTTTAAGAAAACCGAATTCTTTGGGAATGAAGGAAGACACAAGGAGCCGGTTCTTCCAGGTGAGGTCAGTGAAATCGGAGATGGCATGCCCTAACACTTCGGAGTGTTCACTTGGCCCGCGTCAGTCTCTATGGAATTTGCTACCGATAACTTGAAGGTGGTCCAGGAGCCGACTTGCTCTGGGCTGTTGGCTGGGGCTCAGTCAGGGTGACGTGATCGGAAGACTGGTTCATCATCCTTCAAATATTTTTACTGAACATCTTCAAGCCAGGCTTGAACTGAATATAAGGGGAGACCTGGAATGGGCCTGGGTCCTGCCCACGAGGCCCTGAGCAGGTCAGACCTGTGTGAGGTATATACAAAGCAGGGTGCTCAGGGGCCAGAGAGCAGACACAGACCCCTGGTAACTGGCTCAGTACCCTGGGTCACCCTCTCAGTTTTGTCTCCTTATTTACAAAATGGAACAGAGAATAGGACTGGGAAGGCAGCTGGGAGGATAGATGGCCATCTCTCCATTTCAAGATCCTAGCACACCTGCCTTTTGGATGGCCCACACTCTCATTTAACCGCATAGACATCTGTTTCCTCCACTAGGCCATAAGCTCCATGAGGGCAGGACCAGGTCTTGGTCACTGCCATATGCCCTGTGCCAGGGATTGTGCTGAGTATGTGGTGGGAGCTCAGGAAATGCTGGTGGACTGCAGAAATGAATGGAGGCATTAAGTATTTAGAGTGTCCACACAGCGTCTGAAACATAATAGAAACTCAGTCACAAGGATTGCAACCTTAGCTCTCCTCATTAAAATTAATTTACTAATTTCCCCCTCACCTTGCTGTGCTCTGGTAGGGTGGGGACCTCAGGGCACTGGTGTCCTGGGGGACCTTCTGCTGTGTGGCCTCAAGAAGGCCCTGTCCTTCTCTAGGCTGAAATAGTAGCCCCCTACCCCCTTCACCAAGCCCTTCCCTGTGCCAGGCATTGGGCCCAGGTCTCGGCTGTAATTCCCTGACTCCCCTGAGTGTGGGTGCCCTTATTGTCCCTGTTATATAGATGAGGAAGCTGAGGCTTGGTGCCATTGTATGCCTGGCTTAAGTTCATGCAGAGAATACATGGCTGGGCTGGGCCTAGCAGGCTCTTCAGTGCCCACATTCTCAGCCCATCCTGACCAGGCTGGAGTGAGCCATCTGTAAGCTACTGTCCAGCTCCAAGAAATTGTGGCTTATGATCCTCAGACCTGCACTAACCCATACAGAAGCCACTAGCCACATGTGGCTATTTGAATTTAAAGCAGTTAAAATAGGAGATCCAGTTCCACAGTCTCCCTGACCACATGTCAGGTGCCCCAGAGCCTTATGTGACCAGCAGTGACCTCACAGGACAGTGCACAGAACATTACCACCATTGCTGCCCCATCGTCCTCTCTGTTCATGTGGTACCAGACCATGGAGTCTCAAAAATGGGAGTACTGGATTCCAGGTCTAGTGTCTTGTTGTGAGCTTACAAACAGCTATGGCGAGCTGTGCCCAGATAGGGGCCAGGAAAATGGTCACTGGGAGCCCTAAGGGGAGTTCTAGGGAGGACCTAGAATAGAATGACATCATGTTTTCCAGGTACTTATGCTTTTTCCTGATAGAGAGCTCTATCCATTGCCTTCTTCACCTCCCCCTACCCTCACCTATAGGTAAAAATCCAGGACCTTGGAATCTTGGCACATGGTGCCAACTTTGTGGTGTCAGTGAGAATCTTGGGCCATCAGAGAGGCCAGTCTCTGGATAAAGGTGAAAAGTCCTCATAGCCCTGTGACATTCTGGTCAGTAGGAGTGTAGCTGCTAACCAGAGACCCCCACTGTGCTCAACTTATGGAGTCTGCCCACTAGCATCTTCCACGCATGCTGGCCAGGGCGAGGCAGACATCAAGTTCACTAAAACCTCCTCTAAGGCCTCTGTTCAGTTTCCCAGGAGACCCTGGACTGAGGGCCCCAAATGGTATTTTTGAGGGCTCATGACCATGGCTGTGGCTGGCTATAAGGCCACTGTGTGTATCCTTAAGGTCACAATGGGGATTTGGAGGCTTTCTTTTTATTGATATATTTTTTAAAGAGAGGAAGGGAGAGAGAGAGAGAGAGAGAGAGAGAGAGAGAGAGAGAGAGAGAGAGAGAGAGAGAGAGAAACATCAATGTGAGAGAGATACATCAGTCGGCTTTCTCCTGCATGCCCCCTACTGGGGATGGAACCTGCAACCCAGGCATGTGCCCTGACCAAGAATCGAACCGGGACCTCTCAGTCCATGGGACAGTGCTCAATCCACTGAGCCACACCAGCCAGGCAGTACTGGCTTTCTTGCCCTGTCTCTGTGGTGTTGTCACACACCCTCACCCCCAAGGTTCTCTGCCTGGTGCACACAGCTCATTTTCTTACTCTGCAAACTCAGTTGGTCTCAGAAACAAAGTCTTGACCACACTAGAGGTTGCGGACACAGGACTGGGCCCTGGGAGCGGGTAGTGTGAGGGAATGGAGCAAGCTGGACCTGGGCAAGAGAGCTTGAGGCCGTGTGCCTCAGAGCCCAGATGCTGGGCTGCCAAAGGGGGGTTGCAATGGCCCTGCAGGCTGGTTTGCCATTGGCACCCCTCAAAGATATCTGGACGGTGGCCCTGAGCATTGCTTGGTCCTGCGGAGGGCCCAGAGAGGTTCTTCATAGGAGCCAGTTTCATCAGCTTCAGGATTAGCCCCACTTGGGCTTGAATCTTAAAAGTCACTTCTTTTTGTACCTTAGTTTCCCCTCTAACAAATGGGGATGTTTGCTCCTCACAGTGATGGTAAAGTCATGGGCCCAGGTGGAGTGGGTTTACTCAGTGGCTCTACGGGGACCCATGGACCATATCCAGGCACTCACACATTTATTATAGAACCACTGGACCTTGGTGCTGCCCAGCCTCACGCTTCAAGCCAGCCCCTACTCTGGTGGGGTCGCCGGAGGCATGGGGATGTCAGGATCAGGCCACCTGGGGTCAGAACCCAGTTGTGCCCTTTACTCTCTCATGAGATCAGAAACAGGGACCTAGCTCAGTCACCGCACAGTTTCAGGTTCCCATCCGCAGAGTGGGAATGGTAGGACCACCCGGCCCAGGCCTGTGAGGCTTTAGGGAGACCCCACTGCAGTGGCTGGCACATAGGAGGTATCGGGTGAGGGGCAAAGCTGGGGCACCTAGAGGAGGCAGCATTGACTGAACCTGGAAGGTGACTTGGGCCAGGGCAAGGAGAGGAATGAGGATTTGGGGGAAACCAGGCACAGTGGAGGGTTGGCAAGTGAGGAGCACAGTGGGCGCCATGGCTGTGGAACACTGTATAGGGTGGGGAGCTGGGAGGTTGGCAGGACTTTGGGGGCTGCTGGGTGGGGTACATGGGCCACCGTACTTATCCTGTCTGCAGTGAGGAGCTGGGAAGGTCATTTGTGAGCATGGGGTCTGGTCTAGGGGGTAAGGGTCATGTTGGTGGCTGGCGGGAGGTGGAGGGAGCCTGGGAAACCAGAGATAGGCTGGTGCTAGAGCCCAGCAGAGGAAGAGCCCCAGAGATGGTGAGGAGGGAGTTGTGCGGAGAGGTGTCATGTCAGGGTCCCTGCTGCTCTGCCTTGCTGGGTCTTCCCCCTCAGAGCTCGCAACTTTTCCAGAGTGCATCTCTGTCTCCCCCTGCTTAGGGCATCATGCTGGTCTACGACATCACCAACGAGAAGTCCTTTGACAACATCCGGAACTGGATTCGGAACATTGAGGAGGTAAGGCTTGAGGGAAACTTCCCACCTGTCTCTCCTGGGTTCTCACCCTGGAGCCCCCTGGTTTACAGATGAGATCACTAGGCACAGAGACGGCCACAAGGAATTTGTAGAAACCTATAGGGGCGTGGCCAGAGCGAGGACTAGAACCCAAGTGTCAACCCTGGAGACCACACTGGCCTAGCCTGGTTACAGAGTAGCTCTGAGAACCTGTTTCCCCATCGGAGCTGTTTGGTTTGGTGAGGTCTCGGTCATAGGAGAAGTGATACCCAAGCTCTCAGTCACTGTGAGCATTTGGTGCTTTCTAGAAAAGAAAGGTTCTAGAAGTGGCATGACCCTTATCTTTGGAGGGTGTGGTGAGAAGCTGTATCAGGTGTACTTTGAGCCATAGTAGAGTGGGGTGTGAGCTGGTGTGAGCTCCCCGTTTAGGTCAGCAGCACTCGGACCACAGCTGGCTAGAAGAGAGGCCTTAAACCATGAAGGTAGGGGATGGTGACCAGCCCCAACTCCCCATCCCAAAGCCAGTATCATCACTTTCCTGCACCCCAAAGACCTAATCTCACAACAAAGGCTTCCTGAACAAAGGTTCTTACAGGTTTTGATGATTCACCAGGTAGGGCATCAGTTCTGAGGTGTGGCCAGAGGACTTTCCCCTTGTAAACAGCCCCAGCAGAAGGTTGCTCACTGCCAACCCAATGGTTATGAGCAGTTGCACTGGGCCTCCTCCCCAACAACTCTGCTTTTGCTATCAGTAGGCTGTGCCTGGCTAAGGAGGAAGAACTGCCCACACTCATGATGTCTTTGTGGAAGTTCTGTTTCTGGCCAGCAGGTAACAGCGCCTTCCAGTTGGCAGGAAGTCAGGCTGGGAGCCATGCAGGGCATTTTAGTGAGATCAGGTCTGAGCTGCAGCAAGAAGGTCCTATCCTGTGCCTCAGGCCTTCAGGAAACCAGGGCCACTGCACCGGGGCATGGTGGGAGGAGGTGTGGGGGCAGGAGGTGTGAGGGCAGAATTAAGGGAATCCCAGGTGATGGCAAAGCATCCAGAGCTGCCACCACTCCAGGCATAGCCCATTTCTAGAACCCAAAGAGAGTGAACTAGAGCAGGGTATTAAACTTCCAAGACAGCAGCTGGGGCCCCAGCAGAGGAGCCTGTGAGGGAGAGGGAGGTCAGCAGGGGTACCTCCCATAGAGTCCACTGGAAGCCCAAGGACAGATAACAGGAGTCTGGTTATTGCAACCCATAGAGAAACCATCCCCAGCGGCCAGAAAGCATGCACTTGGTCAAAGAATCACCCAGAACCCTGGTCTTGGCCCTGGTATTGGTTGTGTGACATGGTACAGGCTAGGGTACTCAGCCTCTGAGCTTCAGCTTGTCATCTGCACAAGGGTATGCCTAGCGGTCCTGACCCCACCACTCTGATTTCAGGAGTCAGGTCACAAGTTGGCCTGTGAGCCAGACTAACTGCTCCTCTCACTTTTGTCTGTCCTCCCCCCCAGCACGCCTCTGCAGATGTTGAAAAGATGATACTTGGGAACAAGTGTGATGTGAACGACAAGAGACAAGTGTCCAAGGAACGGGGAGAGAAGGTGGGTGTGGTAGCTAGCTTGGGCCTGGCATTGCCAGGGACCTCAGGATTTTAGGGTTCCCTGCATGGAGGCCAGCCCTTTTGTGCTCCGCAGCATTTCTTCGGTGCTCACTAAACCCCTCAGAACCTTCATGAGCATAAGATGACCTACCATCGCAGTTTGTCCAAGAGTGGGGGTCCCAGGATGTGGGACTTTGCCAGGCAAAGGGAGACGAGTCAGTCACCCCCGTGGGGCACATGCTAAAGACTGTGAGCAGTGAGGATCCTAGGCTGTGCTGTGTGTGTGCCTGCGTGGTGTTTCATGGGAACCCATCGAGGCCACAGGGAGCAGAGGATGGAATCATGGTTTGAGCCAGGCCCCCTCCACCCTCCTGCCCTGCTGTCCACTGGTGGCTCCAGGGAGCAAATCCACAGTCCCCAGTCCATGCTCCCAATTGCTGTTCCCACCTTAGGGTGCTTCCTAGGTGTCAGGGGCACCTGGTGGCTGATGCGTGTGCATATATGTCTCCTTCCCTTGCAGCTGGCCCTGGACTATGGAATCAAGTTCATGGAGACCAGTGCAAAGGCCAACATCAATGTGGAGAACGTGAGTCCCAGGCCCACAGCACTAGCCCCTTCAGGCTGAGGGTCGGGCTACACCCTCTGGGGAGACTCTGCCACAGGGTCTGGCCATAGGCTGTCGGCTGCCCTGTTGGCCATCTATCCAAGAGGTACTTCCTGGGTAGAGCCATGTGCCAGGCTCCTTGAGATGCCTGGCTGGCCCCGGGGTATTACTTCCTATTTCCCCCTTTCCCCACCTCATATTCTGATGTCAGCAAGTGCAGGCCCCAGCTGGGCACCTGGACATTTTCTCACTGGCTCTCAAGGAGCCCTGGGAAGCAGGCAGTGTTTTGAAAATTGTGAAACAGAGTCCCAGCGGGCTGGTACCCAAGCCCAGTTTTGGGTAGTTGCTCTGGGCCATGCCACCCACACAGACAGGTACCAGTCACAAACTCAGATGGAGTAAGGAGCCCTGGCCAAGGCTTGGCCCAGGCCACCTTCTCCTCTCCACAGACAACTCCAGCCTTGCAGTTGACCTACCTTTCCCTTTGTCCCACCACCCCAGTGATCTTTCCAAAACAGATCACCACATCACTCCGAACCTCAACCCCCTATGCTTGGTTTGGAAGGGTCTCCCCAACGGGCCCCAGCCCTGTTTGCAGCCCACAGATCAGGCCTCGTCCACTGCTCTTCATCCTGGGCCATCTCCACACTTTTGCTTACGGTCCCTATCCTTGCAACCCCTTTCTGTCAGGGTCTGGCCCAAGTGGTCCTTCCCTAAGGAAGTCTCCACCATCCTTAGGCCCACCACTTTGAGTCCCCAGCACCCCTACCCCCTCCATGACAGAACGTTCCATATCACGTAGGTGTTTGCTGAGACTCCACCCCTCTTACCAAACCAGGAGCCCCTCAGGTGCAAGTGCCAAGGCTGAATCATCTCTATGTGAGGCCCAGGGGCTAGAGTGTGGTTTGTCGAAAGAGCAGACGAGCCCTGGCTGGTTTGGCTCAGTGGCAGAGCTCAGCCCGCAGACCAATGAATGGCGGGTTCAATTGGCCAAGGGCACGTATCTCATCCCCAGCCCTGGTCGGGGTCGTGCAGGAGGCAACCAGTCGATGTGTCCCTCTCATGTCGATGTTTCTCTCTTTCTCTCTCCCACTCTATTTGAAGATAAATAGAAAAATATTTTTGGGTGAGGATTAAAAAAACTAGGAATGAAGAAAGAAAGAGCGGATGAAAGGGAGGAAAGAGGAGGCTGCAACAGAGGCAGAAGCCTAGGATCAAGCCAGTTTGTGAGCCTTCACCATCCCTGAAAGTCAGCCCTTTCACCCCATCCCAGCCCTTTCAGGCTTCTCCTCCAGTCAAGGACCCACACTGAAGCTTGTTTGGTTAAATAGCTGCTTGTCTTTCTCTCTGCCCTGCCCCTGACCATCAGAAAAGGGGCAAAGCAAGCAGTAGAGCACAGGAGTCAAGGATGGGTTCTCCTGGATCCTTCTAGATTGATCAGTTAAACTCTAAATGCCTTGGGGCAAGTCACTTTGTCCCTCTGAGCCTGTTTTCTCCCTGACCAATCAAGGGTGATTCACTTCCCAGGTTCATTGGCTCAGGAGAGGTGGTAGTCTTGGTAGGTGGGGGTAGGAGATGGGGCTGGACAGGTGAGAGCCCTGCCCTGCTGCCCCACTGTATCCATTCCGTAGTGGTGCCCATGAATCAGCAAGCCCCCATCTGCTTCCTGCTGCTGGGGCACTAACAACGTGTTTATTCCACAGGCATTTTTCACTCTTGCCAGAGATATCAAAGCAAAAATGGACAAAAAATTGGTGAGTATGTCCTTCCTAATCCCTGAATGGTTCTCTATTGGAGCCTGTCATTTTCCACCTCTAGTGGTGTCACTCAGCCCTGAGCAGATCCTGCATTTCAGCGCCCAACTGGACCCAGTAGGGCATGGCTAGGAAGAGGGAAGAGGTAGCAGGTGTGGTTGGAGCTCGGCTCCTGGACATGCTCATCTTCTTTGTTCTTTCTCTGTGGCCCAGTGCTGCTGAGCTCCAGGCTGTGTCTAGGCAGCCAAGGCCCTGCCTGCTAAGCACACTGGCTAGCAGGGGACACATGGACTTTCCCATCCTACTCTGGAAATGACAGTCCCAGCAACCCATCCTGATGAGTCTGACAGGTTAATAGCCCTTTTTCCCCTGCCAGCCCCAAATTCTGCAGGTTGCGTTGGCTTTACAACCTTTAGTAGGTACCAGGGCTCTGAGACCTCCAGGAGGTCCTACTTGAATCCCTTCCATCCACCCTTTCATTATTTCTGGCTTTTTTGCTCACCACATGAGCATTTCATAGTCCTTAACACTCAGCAATTAGTGCTTACTTAGTCGGGTCTGAAGTCTCAGCTCTAGTGCTAAAATGCTGTTGCGTTGCCTGGAGCCTCAGCCAGTGGCCACTCTTTCCCAACCAGCTGGTGCTCCCCAGCGCTCTACTTGTGGCTCGTTTAGGTTTTGTCAACAAGAGTGCACGTACAGCACAGAACGCTATTCAAGTAGATCACACCTGATTTAAAACGAATGTATTTTCATAATTCTAAGGTACCATGAATTGAATCATAGGGCACAAGATGGATTTAATGGCAGCTCTTTGACCAAAACGGGAAATAGTCTATGTAAATCTATATACTTCTCTTACAGAAATTGTCTTACAACTGACCTGCTTTTTTTCTTGAGTATAATGGTAAATTTTTGATTCTTAATGATCCTTCTGGCTCACTTTTGCCCACTGCACTTATACTAAGCATCACAGCAACACTTGGCCCGTGCTTTTGATACTGGCCTGTTGATTGCCTCCAGAATGTGCCTTATCTTATTAGGGTCACGAAGTGCTGCTGTGCAGCCATAATCCTTGCATTTCTCTCTTTTTTTAAAGTGTTTTTATTGATTTTTTTTTTTGAGAGGAAGGAAGGGAGAGGGAGAGAGAGATAGAAACATCAGTGAGAGAAAAACATCAATCAACTGCCTCCTGCATGACCACTACTAGGGATCACACCCACAACCTAGGCATGTGCCCTGACCAGGAATCAAACCAGTGACCTCATGGTGCATGGGACAACTCTCAGTCCACTCAGCCACACTGGCCAGGGCTCTCTCTCTTTTTTTTTAAACAGAATCACAAATTTCCAACAGTTAAATTCTTATCATCTTTTTGTTTATATTTAGCATTGCAGCCCCATATTTTGTATCTTTTTTAAAATTGAAATTGTATCTGACATACAACATTATATAAGTTTGAGGTGTACAGTGTTAGCTGGATACATTAATATATTGCAATATGCCCTAGCCAGTTTGACTCCGTGGTTAGAGCACCAGCCCACAGACTGAAGGGTCTTGGGTTTGATTCCCAGTCAAGGGCATGTACCTGGGTTGCAGGTTTGATCCCTTGCCCGGGTCAGGGTCATGCGGGAAGCAACCGATCAATGTGTCTCTTTCACATGGATGTTTCTTTCTCTCCCTATCCCTCTCTACTTCCTCTCTCTCTCTCTCTCTCTCTCTCTCACACACACACACACACACACACACACACACCACACACATTAAGAATCAGTGGAAAAAATATCCTCGGCTAAGGGTTAAAAACAACTATAAATAAATAAACAAATAACTACATATGATTATCATGATAGTGTTAGCTGACACCTCTGTCACAATCACTTGTATTGAGAACAATTAAGTTCTAGTCCCTTAGCAACTTTAAGGTTTAAAATATAGTATTGTTGACTCTAATTACAGTGCTCTTCATTAGAGTCCCCAGGACTTGTTTATCTACCAGTGCAAGTTTACATTTATCTTTTTCATTGCTGATATAGCCAGCTCTGCCCACCCTCACCTTCTCTCTTAAAAGTGTTACAGAAGACCGGGCTCTGCTGCTGCCCACCCCACCCCTAGACCTCTGGCATTTTCTCCCTCAGCACAACCCAGTGCTTCTCACTGCACTGAGAGCAGACTCCACACACCTTGCCAGGCCGCCTGGGCCTCGTGCGCTGCCTGCTGCCACCCGCCGCCACCCGCTTCACTTTGTCACCTTGGTTTTTCTCTGTTGCTCCCCGTGCTTCAGCCATGCTGGCCTTTTTTTTTGTTCTTTTGGGCTTTCCTTTTCCTCCACCTGGGGTGAAATTCTCATAACAAACTCTGTAGCTTACACCACACACATTTTCTTAATGTCCTGGAGGTTAGGAGTCTGAAATGGGTCTCACCAGGCTCAGATCAAAGTGTCAGCAGAATTCATTTCTGGAGGCTCCAGGGGAGAATCCATTTTCTTGTCTGTCAGCTTCTAGAGGGCACTGTATCCCTGGCCTTAGAACCACTTCCTCCTCTTGGACCCTGTTTTTATCACCTCTCTTTCTTAGACCACAGCTGAGATTTCTTTTCTCTGCCTTTGAAGATCCGCAGGATTAGACAGGGCTCACCTGGATGATCCAGCATGCTCTTCCCATCTCACCCTAGTCACATCTGCAAAGTCCCTCTTGCCACATTAGGTACCATGCTCATAGGTTCCAGGGATTAGGGTGCAGATGTCTTTGGGGGCTGTTACTTTGCTGACCACACACCTGGACTGTCCCAGGTCTCACTGCCTCACTTCATGAAGTCTCTGCCATCACCATCAAAGCATTCCTCCACCCCTTTCCCTGCCTTTTCTCTCATTCCTCCACGATGATGGGGAATCACCACTTTTGTTTATCCTCATAATTTTCATCTCCCCCATACAGTGTGAGCTTTCCGGAGCCGGGGGTTCTTGTTCACCACTACATGTCCAATGCCCACAGAAGTGCCTGACAGCATAGGCATTCAGGAGTTACTGTTAAGTAAATTGAGGTTTTACCTAAGAGCTGAGAGATGAGAAAATTAGTCAAAGGGGAACTGAACCTTTCTAAACAGGGTGACAAGGGAGAAAGTAAGATTTACATTCCCAGAGTTGGCAGGGGCCGGACTACAGAGGCTCCGAATGCTGGATGACAGATTTGGAAACTAGGGGGCACTGGTGTGTTTCAAGTAAGGCTTGAGTGGACATAGTTAAGGGTTTAGTTTATATCACATGCAGCAGAGTGGAAGGTGCACCAGGGGAGAAGTGGTAAGCCATAGCCTTAGCACAGAGACATGGAGACCGTCCAGGTGTGAGTGACATTGGGACCTTGAATTCAGTACCTCCAACCCCTAAATTCCAAGGGACAGAGTCTGCTGCCCCTTGGCCGCCTCACTGATAGGGCTAGAAAGAAGGATTGAAGGGTGGGTGAATGGAGAGAGGGAAGTAGGGGAAAGAGTGAGATAGAATGAATGGAAAGGTGTTGAGGGGATGAATGGAAAGGGGTGGATGAATAGGTGAATAAGTAATGGAAAGAATGAATGGTGGTTGGAAAGGTTGGTGGGTAGTAGAAAGAAGTATATCTGAGTTTGTGAAAGATGACTTGTCAGTTGGAAGCAACAATTGGATAGATGATGGAAAGGGATGGCTGGATGGAAGGGAATGGACAGATGGATAGTGGATGGAAGGGGATGGATGGGTAGATGGATGGTGGTTGGAAGGGGATGGATTCATTAATGGTTGAAGGTGACATGGTTGGATAGATGGGTGAGATGGACAGACTTGCGATTGGATGGTTGGATGGATAGATGATGGATGATTGGTTGAATGGAAGGATAATTGATGGGTAGACTTGCAGATGGATGGTTGGTTGGTTGTCTCCTTGGTTGGCTGGCTGGCTGGTTGGTTAAGGGACATAGTGCTGATGCTCAGCCATAACCTCAGAAAACATCTTGTGACTTCAGGAAGGCAACAGCCCCCAGGGGAGCAACCAGGGAGTCAAAATCACACCAGACCAGCAGAAGAAGACCAGCTTTTTCCGATGTGTTCTTCTGTGAGGAACGCCGCCTTACTCTGAGCCTTGCTCAGCCGAGCTGACTGTGCCTGTCCTGAGTGAGCCCTTCACTCAGCCGGGGCCTTCCCCCCTCCAATGCCCCTGCCATGGCCACCGGGCCCAGGGCCACCAGAACACAATTGAGAAATTGTTTATTTTAGTAACTGTCTGATCTTTTTCAACTTTGGAGATGAAATAAGTTAAGGATTTGCTATTTTTCCCGCGATGTCCACCGAACTGGCCCATGCATTGTGTACCTGGAGAGAAAGATGGAGACATCATGACCAGCAAAAGTGACCAGTGTGGTGGGCCTCCATCTCTGGGGCGTGACATAACTAAAATTCTACTGCAAAGCCTGTCTACATCTCCCACCACAGAAGCAAGGTTCCCAAAGGCCAGTGATGGTTCCAGGAGTGCTGAGCTTTGCACCCTCAGTGAGGTGACCCAATCAGGCCCAGGAAGCGTCCGCCGACATGTCTGACACCCATTTTCACCTTTTCTCTGTTTTGGACAAGTGACAAAAACATTTCTTATTTCCCCCTCCCTCCTCTTTTTGACTCTCAAACCAAAGGAAAGCACAAATTAAGGAAATCCTGTGTAGAGCGCTCGGACGGAAGGAGGAGTGGAGGGGCCTTTCCTGTTCACAGCAGGTTTCGGTCTACAGTCCAGCCAGGCCTCGGGCGTGGTCAGTGGACCTCGGCAGTCCCTGTCTGATCATCAAGGGGACACCATGCATCCCACGGGTGACCCCAAAAATGCAACCACACACTCTTCACCCACAATTAGGGAGTTCACCTCTTGGCCCCTAAACAGCCCCACTCCTCTTTGTCCTCCCACAGTCTCTAAATCAGACATTCTTTCTAGCTGAGATTTTTATTTGTCCAGATCTTTAGTGCCATGAAGTGATTCCATCTTTGATTTCTGATGGCAGACCCAGGGGACCAGGGACACGTATGTACCTGTGGCTGGATGTGGCCAAGATTATGAAGCATCCCTGGTGACAGACTGACCACAGAGCTGCCTGGGCTGGTTTTTAACTGCTGTCATTGGTTCTGTTTCGACAGCCCTACCTTCCCGTAGAGAGTGTGCATTTGAGACCAGGTCTGAGGGGTGTCACCAGGGAGCCTTTATATTTCTTTTTCTTATACCCCACCCCAAGCTGCTGTCTACCCAAGCCATTGGCATCATAATTTCTTTTTTGAATTAAAACCAATGTACCAGCCACAGTCTGCTGTTCCCTTGGAATTTCTTAATATGCTCTGTTTACATCATTAAACACTTAAGGAAAACAACAAATTAAAGCTCATTTTAAAGTTCCTAGATTTTTATGTCCACAGTTATCTGTAGGTGGAGAAATGTGTCTAGGCATTGGATGGTGGGTTTGCAGAATGCCCATTAAAACACAGTTCAGGGCAGGACAGTGTTGCTCAGTGGATTGCGCATCATCCCGTGGACTGAGAGGTTCCTGTTCAATTCCCAGTCAGGGCACATGCCTGGGTTGCGGGCTCCATCCCCTGTAGGGGGCGTGCAGGAGGCAGCTAGTCAGTGTTCCTATCTCACATCAATGTTTCTTTTTTTTTTTTTTTTTTTAATTATTTTTCCTTTATTGACTTCAGAGAGGGAGAGAGGGAGAAACATCAATGAGAGAGAATATCAATTGGCCACCTCCTGCACACACACAACCCCCCTCCCCCCTTCCGATCGGGCCCACAACCTGGGCATGTGTCCTGACCAGGAATCGAATTGGCGACCTCTTGGTGCATGGGTTGATGCTCAACCACTGAGCCACACCAGCTGGACTCACGTCAATGTTTCTATCTCTCTCTTCCTCTCTCTGGGTGGGATCAAAATAAAGGTGGTGTGTACCCCAGGCCCTAAAGAGGTGACACCATTATCAAAAGGCAGACTTGGAAAATTAAGCTTCCCCTACCTAGCTCTGTCCCCACGCCATAGAAAAACAGGTGACCCTACTCTTGGCGCCACCTGGGTTTACCACATCCCATGCTGAACCTGCTTGGTCAACATTAGACCCCGGATTCTCTCGTCTTGGTCTCTGTTGGCATCCACTTGCCAAGTTGCACACTCGGTTCTGAGACCCCTTTCTTACCTCTTGGGAGCATCCCCCTCCCCCATCCTGTTTCCCCTTGCTTCTGGCACATGACTTGGTTACCATTTGCCTCTTCTCCAGACTGACCCCAGTGGGTTTTTCTACTCTGTTGGTCCCCAAGACCACCCCCAGGTCAGTGATTCACTGGGACTTGACATATAGTTGATGTATTACAACCAAAGGACAGGAAAGTGGGCTCAGGAAAAGGTCCATGTCCAGAGGAATCCAGGTGCAAGCTCCAGGAGTCCTCGCTACCCGGGGTCACAATTTCTCCATTGCCAAGCTGTGACAAGTCGTGTGAAGTATTATCTGCCAGGGCGCTCCTTAGACTCAGCACCCAGGGTTTTATTGGGACTGGTCACATAGGCACCTCTGCCTGGCATGTACCAAAGTTCCAGCAGCCTAGAAAGAAAGCCAGCATTTAGTATAAACCATATTGTTGGTACAACATTTAGGCATAGTTGTGAGCCACTTTTCACGTAGGGAAGGTTGTATTTCAGCATAGGGTACTTGACCAGCCAAGTTCCTGAATGCCAGCCAGTGGCCAGCCGGCCTTTAGACATGCCAGTGACTTCTACCCTGCAGATCCAGCCCAGACCCCAGTCTGAGCTCCAGACCACCATGTTCACCTGCCTTCAGTCTCTTCTCTGATCAGCACCATAAATGTAACAGCCAAGAGAGAGCTCTTACTTTGGCCTCAAACCTCCATTCATGCCCTGTAATCTCCCTTCCCACATTGCAGCCATTACCCTCTAAACCTCTGACCCAGCTTTCCCTTTGTCCTTCAGTCTGTTTTTAGAGTATCCTTAAGAAGTAGAAATCAGAGTGCCACCTCCAACTCCCCCTTCATTCTCAGATACAACTCAAATTCCACCATGGACCACGAGCTCCTGCATGCTGTGGCCCTACCCACTTCTTCCCTTTTCTCTGCCATCCTCCCCTGGCTCACCTCACCCCAGCCCCTGTATGCCTTATTGCTTTTCCATGCTCACTGCTGCCCCAGTCCCTTTGCACCTGATGCACCATTGGTTTGGCAGCCCTCTAAAATCTTCACAGCCCAGCCCTGGCCAGTTTGTCTCAGCGGTTAGAGCGTCGGCCTGCGGTCCGGAGAGACCCGGGTTCGGTTCCCGCTAAGGGCACGTACTTCGGTTGCAGTTTGTCCCCGGCCCTGGTTGGTCGTGCGGGTGGCAGCCACTCGATGTGTCCCTTCACATCAATGTTTCTCTCTCTCTCTCCCTTCCTCTCTCTCCCTCCCACTCTATCTGTACAAAAAATGGAAAAATATCCTCGGGTGAGGATAAAAAACAAACAAACAAATAAAATCTTCACAGCCCACTTGTGTAGGTAGGTCATGACCATCCGGAACAGCCTTTACAGAGAGGCCCCCCACTCCCTCCTCTCCTCCCACCTCATCATTGCAGCATCTGTGGGAACTCACTTCTCATGGCCAACTCTTATATCCCCCTAGCATGGAAGCTCCATGAGCCTGACTTCCCCACCCCTGACATCTATGGTGAAATGGCCGTGTGGTCACTTACCCTGAGGGTCATCCATCCCACATGGGGCCATGGAAATCCCAATCATCAGCTGAAGCTTTCAGTGAAAAGTCTTGACCTGGTGTTGAAGGGGAAGGGCCTTTGGAGTCCCAGCCCCAGATCTCCCTGCTGATCCCCTTCCAGAAGTTTCTATGGAAACCACCTGTCCATTCAGTCCCCAGAACTGTGATCACTGGGGTGGGGGATGGGGTGATTCTGTGTGACATTCTCAGGGGAGGATGTTAGTTTGTGGGAGACCACATCCACCAGGCAGGTCAGGGTAGTCAGGGTAGAGCCCTCTGAAGTGAGGCCTTGGGGCCGGGCTCTAGGTGGACTGATGAGGCTTATGTTCCTGTAGACTGAACTCCATGCAAATAATACACCAATGGCCAGACTTTCTAACTGACAGGGATCACTTGGATACTTCTGATCCCCTCCCCAGCAGCACTGCTCCTCATCAAGGCTAGGAGCCAGCCCATTGGGCTCTGAGGGGCATGGAGAATCATGAAGTGAGTTGCCCAAGGTTGCCCAGCCTAGAGGTCTGGAGCCCAAGCTTGTGTCTCCCCCAGCCGGACACAAAGGCATCAGATTAAGTCACCAAGAAAAGTCCAGATACTACTCTTAACTACTAAAGGTTGTCTCCTACCTAAGGAGGCCTATATAGTGTGACTTCACAGATGGGGAAACTGACCCAGAGAGGTTGAGCAACTCACCCAAGGCCACACAGTGTTTCCTGTTGGGGCTGGCTGTTGACCCACAGACTCCAGGCAACCCTCCCTCAACCCTCTCTCTCCAGCCATAGAGCAGGGGGTGGTGGGGGCACCCAGCTTGAGCCTGCAATGAGGCTATCTAAACCAGCTGGGTGATAAGCCTGTAGGCAGCCCCCCCACACACACACCGTGTTCAGCCATGAGGATCTGGGCCATTTCTGCCTGAAAGAGAAGGAGGAAGTGGTTTTGCCCCTGTATTGGGACAGGAAAGGTGGGGCAGCCAGCATACATCTGGAGCTGGCTGATGCGTTAGGCACCGGTTCCCAGATTCAGGGCCCATGTGTGTGTAGGGACCCCCGACATGTTTTAGTTTTTTTAATCAGAAAAAGTTAATACAAAAATAATGAATATATAATAATGATGCCAACACAGCCATATAATTTTACATGGTTTGGGGTTTTTTTGTTTCTTTTTTCACAGGAGTCAAAATGTGGCCCTGTGTACACAGTGAGGTTTGGCCTGTTCTGGCTCCATTCTGCCTCAGGCCTGTTGTCTGTATGGCTCCCTCTACCTGAAGCACTCTTTCTGCAAATCGCCCCCCCCACCCCACCCCAAACAAGTTGACTCCCACCTGCCCCCGGTGCCCCTTCCTCCAGATCAGTTAGGCCCCCTCTGGGGGTTCTTGCACCTCCAGTTCCCACTTCCTGACCTGCTGTTTGCTTTGAAACATTAATCATTTCTTACTCTTCATTGATTGCTAGATTGTAGAGACCAGTATGGGGGCCCTGGGCCTGTCTTGGAGTCTCCTCTCTGTCCCCTGAAGATCTGGCACACAACAGATGTTCAATAAAGGCTTGTCCAGGTCTGGATGGAGCATAGGTGCCCCTCTAACCTGCAGCTCAGCAGCTTTGTTGGAGTGCAGACTGGGGTTGTCCTGGTCCCGCCCTGCCCCGAGGTTCACCTGCCTAAGGAAACAGGAACCACCCCGGGCCCCGCCTTGCTGACGTGCAGACCCTGAACCGAAACCCAGGCTGCTACAGGCACAGACACAAGGCACAGCCAGAGCGAGGGCCTCTGCCACCCAGAGGTCTCCCAGGTATGTTCCCGGGTAGGGACTCCTCAGTCAACTATATGCCCACCCATGCTGGGTGAGGCTGGGGCCCTGAGGGTCTCAGCCCCATCCCAGTCCTCTAGAAGACCCAGCATGGGGTCGAGGCTGGGCCAGAGGGAGGGATGGGGCTGACGGGGACCAGAGATGCATGAGCAATTTTCTGGAGGCACCAGAAGTTGACCATTGGAAAAGGGGGCTGGAGTTTAGGAAAGAGCATTCCTGGCAGCCCAGCTGGTGTGGCTCAGTGGTGGAGCATCGACCCATGTATAAAGAGGTTGCCAGTTTGATTCCCGGTCAGGGCACATGCCCAGGTTGTGGGCTGAATCCCCAGTGGGGGATATGCAGGAGGTGGCCAATTGATGTTCTTTGTCATCGATGTTTCTATCTCTCTCTCTCTCTCTCTCTCTCTCTCCCTTCCTCTCTCTCTAAAATCAATAAAGAAGAAAAAAAAAAAAAAAGAGCATTCCTAGCAAAGAATAGCATGGGGAAAGGTGTGGAGGGAAAGAGAGCGTGATCAATTTTGGGTAGAGCAAGGATGCTGTTAGGGCTGAAACAGGGGATAAGGGGGTGAGGAGGCCCCAGTGCCAGGGTCGGGAATTTGAAACTTATTATAGCTTCATTCATCAATAAACTCTCTATTCATCAGCACACACCTTGTACCCTCCTCTGCCCACCTGGTCCCAGGTGATGCTGGGGACCCAGAAAAACCCAAAAGAACCTAGCCCTGGGCCCAGACCCTGGGAACCCCTAATGTGGGGGAGACAGAACCAGACACAGACACTCCAGTTCCATGAGGTAAGGCTAGGCCTAAGATAAGAACCGTGGGGAAGGTGGGGGACATAGAAGGCCAAGGTTTTATCTTGGGGAAGAGGCAGGAAAGCTGCATGGAAGAGGAGATAGAGCCATGGATTTTGAAAGATAAGTAGGTTTTCCAGGTAGAAGAAAGAACAAGCCTATAAATATTACCCCATGCTGGATCACCAGTGCACTCATGAATATTATACATACAAGTGTTTTGTGCTGGTCTCTGCCAATCAATACCAATGTTGTGACTGGACCAGCCTCTGGTTCTTGTTAATGATTTCAACACACCCTTCAGCAATAACCATCAGGAAACTTTGTAAAAAATAAAGGTTTATTTATTACTTAAGGACCTGGAAATTATGCGGCATACCTGGGACCACACAGCAAGGTCAAAGGTAGAGAGAACATGCATGCATATGGGCAAGTAGCCCTAATGGTTAATTATTGAAATCAACCAAGATCTCTAAAACAAAGGAGCCTCAGTGGGAGAAGGCAGCTTGGCTCTTTGGTTGTGTGGCTGGCAGTGTTTGTAGCAACCAAAGCTTAAGTCAAACACTGGCATTACAAAAAAGAAACACACACACACACACTACAGCAGGTAAATATCATCATTATCCCCAAACTGCAGTTCAAAATTCAGGCACAGAGAGGTTAAATTGATTTGCCCAAGATCACACAACAGCTAAGTGAGGGAGCTGGGGTTTGAACCCAGGCTCCAATTCCAGGCTCCTAACCGCTTTGTTACCCTGCCTTATAAAACATTTCTTTTTGGTTTTTGTTTTTTTGTTAATCCTCATCCGAGGATATTTTTCCATTGATTTTGAGATAGAGTGGAAGGGAGGGAGGAAGAGAGAAAGAGAGAGAGAGAGAGAGAGAGAGAAACATTGATGGAGAGAGACACATCAATTGGTTGCCTCCTGCATGACCCTGACAAGGCCAGGGATCAAACCCGAAACCCTTCGATCCGCAGGCCCACACTCTAACCGCTGAGCCAAACCAGCCAGGGCTAAAAATTCCTTAGTAGATTTAATTTCACTTGCCCTGGAATTCCTTTGGGTTGCTCCCTGAAGAGTGTGCTTGCCATCTGTCTTCTCGCAGGAGAAAGTCAATATTGACTGGATTGGTCAACAACCCAATGAAACAGCCTGGTAACAATGACCTTCTGCAGTATTGAAAACTTAGACCTGGTCAGTGGGGTGGAATGGGGTTAGGGAATGAGACCAGTTTGAGAACAGAATTAGGATGAGTGTGAGGGGTCAACCCAACAGTGCACACCCGTATGCTGGCTTTACACTGATTTCATACTGTTTTGCAAATTGGCGCTGTTTTTTCCCCCCCTCTGGTTTCCAGCTCTATGTCATTAGCTGTCACAAAGTCCAGTGTACCCGAGCTTAAAATAGTTGAGAATGAGTGTGAATTAATCCTGCACCTGACACACTGTAGGTGTACTACTTGTGGACACCATGCTTGGCTTCATTGGTGGCAGAAGCAACGGTTTTGGGCACACCTCTGTGGTGTTTAAGGCAACCGTGGCAACCCTTTATGGCACCTACTGGGTGTCCGCTATTTCATTCATTGACTTCTCATTTTTCTATCTCCACTTCTCTTCTAGGGACATTGGTAGTTACTTAATACTTAAATAAATTGAGTTCTTAAACTTAAATACAAACATATATCTATAAAGAGAACTTTCCAATACTTGCAGTAATGACATAATAATATTCGTTTTTGTTTTTTTGTTTGTTTGTTTTTGTTTTTAATCCTCATCCGAGGACATTTTTCCATTTTTTTTTTTTTTGTACAGACAGAGTGGGAGGGAGAGAGAGGAAGAGAGAGGGAAACATCGATGTGAAAGGGACACATCGAGTGGCTGCCACCCGCACGACCAACCAGGGCCGGGGACAAACTGCAACCGAGGTACATGCCCTTAGTGGGAACCGAACTCGGGTCTCTCCGGACCGCAGGTGGACGCTCTAACCACTGAGCCAAACCGGCCAGGGCCGTTTTTGTTTGTTTTTAATCCTTACCCGAGATTATTTTTCTATTTATCTGCAGATAGAGTGGGAGGGAGAGAGAGAGAAACATCAACACAAGAGGAACACGTCAACTGGCTGCTCCGTGACTCTTTGATCTGCAGGCCAACACTCAAACCGCTGAGCCAAACCGGGCCAGGCTGTTTGTTTTTTAATTCTCACCCAAGGATATTTTTTGAGATAGAATGGAAGGGAGGGAGGGAGGGAGAGAGAGAAAGAAACATTGATCTGAGAGAGACATATCGATTGGCTGCGTCCCACACGCACCCCAACAGAGCCAGAGACTGAACCTGCAACCCAGGTACGTGCCCTTGACCGGGAATCGAACCCACAATCCTTTGGCCCACAGGCTGATGCTTCTAACCACTGAGCAAAACCAGCTAGGGCCATAATAATATTTTATTATTCCCTTTTATTCTCATTAATTTATTTTATTCTTATTATACTTGGAGGATTTTTGGAAGGAATCGAGAAGGGAATGTACATAAAGTGCCAGCACATAGTAGATGCTCAAGAAACACAAACCAGTTTCAAGCCCATTGCTCTGTCCAGCCTGGAGGACTTCTCCAAAGAGGAGGCACCATGAGTTGCAAGAATAGGATGAAGATGGGAGGTGAACCAGGCTTGACTCTCTATCTTCCTTCCTGCCCCAGGTGACACCCTCCCCCTCAGGAAGCCATGACAGAGGCCAGAAAACTGCCCCCACCACTGCCCCCAAGACTGGACTGGTTCGTGCAGACACAGATGAGCGAGCTGGCCCAAGGAGGAGTCCCTTCATGGTTCCATGGTGCCATCTCCAGACAGTGAGGACACACCCACACTTTCTACCCTGCCTTTCACCCTTTTTGTCTGCCTCTACCCCGGGCAGGTTTTCACTGTGGACTTCTGGGCTCAGCTCATCTAAGTGTGTTAAGAGGATGAAAAGAGCTTTGGAGTTTCAGGCTTGAATCTTGTCTCTTCTATGGACTCGCTGTGCACCCTTGGACAAGTTACTTTTCCACTCTGGACCTTGGCTTACTCTATTAAAGTGGCCACCAGGTCAGAACTGCCAGGGAGATCACCCCCCCCCCCCAACACACACACACACACACACACACACACCCCTTAGCAGGCAGGTATCACCAATCAATGATGGCAGGATGAAGCCTCAGAATTCTTCTTAACACAGTGCCCCAAACAGCTGCTCTCAATCTATCAGGTATATTACTAACATGCACTTTCTACAACAAACTGAGCTCTGAGATGAACAAACTCACCTACTTAGTCATTCCAGGGCCTGGCTTTACATAAATGGAGAAGACATTTATTGCCACCCTTGGCATTCAGGAAATTGAGAGAACATTGCAAAAGCCACAGAGAGGCAGAACTGAACATGGTTTCTGAGTTCTAGAGCATGCCAATAAAATATAATATGAGCCATACATTGCAATTTAAAATTTTTCAGTACTATATTTTAAAAGGCAAAAAGAAACAATTAATTTTAATCACATCTTTTATTTAACCCAGTATATCCATGATATTATCATTTTAACACATAATTAATACTAAAAAATATCATTCATGAGGCAGTATATATATTTCTCTATTTGTTTTTTGTTTTTTTATTTTTAAATCTTTATTGTTGAATGTATTACAGATGTTCCTCATTTTTCCCCCACTGACCCCCTCATCCCCACTCCTGCCTTTCTCCACACTGTTGTCTACGTCCATTGGTTATGTATATAAGTTCTTTGGTTTATTTCTTCCCACCCCCAACCCCTTTCCCTTTGAGGTTTGTCAGTCTAGCAATGAATTTGTACTTCTTAATCCCTTCACCTTTTTCACCCATTCCCCCAACCCCCCTCCCATCTGGCAACCAACAAAATGTTCTCTGTATCTATGAGAATGTTTCTGTTCTGCCTGTTCATTTTGTTTGTAGATTCCATTGTCAATAGATATGTATTCATTGCCATTTTGTTTGTTCATATATTTTATCTTTTTCTTCAAAAAGACCCTTCATCATTTCATATAATAACAGTTTGGTGGTGATGAACTCTTTTAACTTTTTCTTTATATGGCCATCAATTCTAAATGACAGCTTTGCAGGGTAGAGTAATCTTGGTTGTAGGTTCTTGCTTTTCATCACTCTGCATATTTCTTGCCACTCCCTTCTGGCCTGCAAAGTTTCTTTTGAGAAATCAGCTGACATTCTTATGGGAACTCCCTTGTAGGTAACTAACTGCTTTTCTCTTGTTGCTTTTAAGATTCTCTCTTTGTCTTGAACCTTTTGCATTTTGATGATGATGTGTCTTGGTGTGGGCCTCTTGGGGTTCATCTTGTTTGGGACTCTCTGTGCTTCCTGGACTTGTATGTCTGTGTCCTTCACCAAGTTAGGGAAGTTTTCTGCCATTATTGTTTCAAACAGGTTTTCAATTTCTTGTTCTCTCTCTTCTCCTTCTGGCACCCCCAAGATGCGAATGTTGGCACACTTGAGGTTGTCCCAGAGGCTCCTTACACTAGCCTCATATTTTTGGCTTCTTTTTTCTTTTTGCTGTTCTGATTGGGCATTTTTTGCTTCCTTATATTCCAAATCAATGGTTTGCTTCTTGGATTTACGTACTGTACTACTGAATCTGTGTAAATTATTCTTTATTTCAGTTAATGCCTCCTTCTGACTGGTCCTTTTTCATGCTCTTGAGGTCCTCACTAAGTTCATTGAGCATCCTTATAAGCAGTATTTTGAACTCAGCATCTGTTAGGTTGCTTATCTCCATTTTGCTTAGTTCTTTTCTTGGGGTTTTGTTCTGTTCTTTCAGTTGGGACCTGTTTCTTTGTCTCCTCATTTTGGCTGCCTCCCTGTGTTTGTTTCTGTGTATTACTTAATGAGAGGTATGGGGCTGAGACCAGATGCTGCTTGTTTGAAAGAATTTAGGAAAACCTGAAGCAGGATCCAATACAGGCCAATCCTATGGTTAAGCAACTGGCAACAGCTTGGGTGGGCCTGAAAGCTGGGTGGGGCAGGGCCTCAGGGAATCACTAGGGCGGGGCAGCCAGTGTGAGCCAAGTTGCTGGAGTCCCAGATATGGCGACTATCTGCCGCCCCAGGGAAGGGCTCACCAAAGGAACAAAGGCCTCTAACAGCACGTTTGTCCAGGAGAAAGCCGCCTCTCCAGCCCTCGCTCCAATGCCAAACAGCTCAGTTCTTCCCTGTATGTCTCTGGAGCCCCTCAAGCTGCCTCCCCTCCAAGCTTAGAGGGAATGAGTTCCATAAGTCCGTGCGCGAGCCCTTTAAGAGGAGCTGCTGGGGCTCCAGCCGGTCAGCTTCCCTGAGACTCAGTTCCCGCTGGTTTTTCCAGCCAGAAATTATGGAGATTCTCTTCCTGGCACTGGAACCCTGAGCGGGGCACCTGGTGTGGGACGGGGACCCCTCAGTCCTCAGGGAGGACCTTTCCAGCCAAGGTATCCTCCTGATTTTTATCCGCCACACATGGGTATGGGACCAGCTTGTCCACCTCCACCCCTCCTACTGGTCTCGATGTGGCTGCTGCTTTAATTCTGTAGTTGTAGGACTTAAATTCAGCTTGATTTCAGGCAGTTTTGAATGATGGTTGTTCTGTAGTTTAGTTGTAACTTTGTTTTTATTTTATTTTTTCTGTAGTTTAGTTGTAACTTTGTTTTTATTTTATTTTTTATTTTTTTATCCTCACCCGAGGACATTTTTCTATTTTTTGTTCAGATAGAGCGGGAGGGAGAGAGAGGAAGAGAGAGAGAGAGAAACATCGATGTGAAAGGGACACATCGAGTGGCTGCCACCCACACGACCAACCAAGGCCGGGGGCAAACTGCAACCGAGGCACGTGCCCTTAGCGGGAACCGAACCCGGGTCTCTCTGGACCGCAGGCCGACGCTCCAACCGCTGAGCCAAACCGGCCAGGGCTAGTTGTAACTTTGATGTGGTTGTGGTCTATATTTCTCTATTTATACTGCCTTTATTTATTTTTACTTTTTATAAATACATTTTTTTCAATTACAATTGACATATAATATTATATTAGTTTCAGATGTACAACATAGTTGATTAGACATTTAAATAACGTACAAAGTGATCACCCCAATAAGTCTAGTAACCATCTGACACCACACATAGTTATTACAACATTGTTGACTGTATTTCCCATGCTGTGTACTGAGTCTTTAAAATCTGGTGCATATTCTGTGCTGAAAGCAAATCTTGATTGAGACCAGCTACATTTTAAGTGCTCAGTAGCCACATGTGGGCAGTGGACTCTGTGCTGGACAACACGAGTACAAAGGCTCCCCATTGAAGGACACCTTACTCTCTGCGTACCCCAGAAAATAGTACTAATGATGCCAGTAGATGATAGTAATACAGTTGACCCTTGAACAATGTGGAGTTTAGGGGTGCCAACTCTAAATCCTTTCTATGACTTTTTACTCCTCAAGAACTAACAGTCATTTCCCGGTATCCATGGGGATTATTTCAGAACCCCCACGTACACCAAACTCTGCGGATGCTCAAGTCCCCTCTATAAAATGGTATAGGTTAATTTATACAGTCAGTCCTCCACATCCAAGGACTCCCAACCTCAGTTCGAAAATACTATACAGAGGGCTGATTTGTGTATGTATTGAAAAAAATCTTCTTGGACCTGGCAGTTCAAACTCATGTTTTTCACCGGTCAGTTTTCTAACAGTGAACATTTTGAAAGCATGTACCAGGTGGAAGTTCTTATTTTACACACATTTTGTCTGTCCTCACATTGGCCCTGGGAGTGAGGGTTTTCGGTCCCCTTGGAAACTGCGGTCAGAAAGGGACTAACCCTCACCAATGGTCACACAGTGAATAAACAGCAGAATTGGGTTTTGATCTCTTTTTTTTTTTTTATCCTCATCCGAGGACATTTTTCCAATCCTTGTACAGATAGAGTGGGAGGGAGAGTGAGGGAGAGAGAAACATCGACGTGAAAGAGACACATGGAGTGGCTGCCACCCGCACGACCAACCAGGGCCGGGGACAAACTGCAACCGAAGTATGTGCCCTTAGCGGGAACTGAACCCGGGTCTCTCCGGACCGCAGGCCGATGCTCTAACCGCTGAGCCAAACCGGCCAGGGCGGGTTTTGATCTCAAATGCATCTGGGAACAGCTCCTGCTTTGGTACTTGTCAGACCTGGATCCAGCCAAAGGTGCCTTCCTGGGCGGATTCTAGGCATCGGAAAGGCAGGCAGGGGCTGTGGGAAATGGGAAGTCTGCCCTGGGGTCAAGGTCATCAGAGGTCTTCCTCCACCTCTGGGGGAACATCTTGTCTCAGAATATCCCAAAGTCTGAAACAACCAAGAAAAAAAATTGTTTTAAGTTGTTTGTTCAGTCCTGGGATGACTGGTACACCAAGGGTCTGGGCAGGACGCTGGGTAGCCAGACTTCAGCTATCTCCCTTTTGTGTGTGCCCTTCCAGGGACGCAGAGGATTTGCTGGAGTCACAGCCACTGGGATCCTTTCTCATCAGAGTCAGTCACAGTCACGTGGGCTACACACTCTCCTACAAGTAAGGCCTGGGCTAGGGGATGTGGCGGAGGCAGGAGGGCTCCAGGCTTCCTGGGAGGGGCAAGTGGTGCTTCTTACCACAGGTCTCAGGGAGCAATTGATATGAAGTTCTGGACAGATCTCGCTGAAGAGTGAGCAGCTGCAGGTCTGGCTGTAACCAGCAGACGTGGGTCTGGTGGTAACTAAGACTGTATGTCTGAGAACAAGGGCTGATAGGGGTCTGAGAGTGGGTACTGCCTAAGCTAAGCTTTTCCTGCAGTGACTTGTTTCATCTTCCCGAGAACTCCTGAGGTCAGTCTTCGTAGCCCCATGTCATAGATTGGGAAACCGAGGCACAGTGCTATTAGTCACCGACCAAATGTCACATGGCTCATGAGTAGAGAAGCTTACATAGGAACCTGGGCAGTCAGGCTACAGCCTTGACACTGCCAGTTCGAGGTCTGGGGGGTGGGGACAGAATGAGGGGAGTGGGGTGTTCCAGCCCTTGCAGTGTCTCCACAGAGCCCAAAACAGCTACCGCCACTTTATGGTGAAGCTCTTGGACAACGGGAACTGTTTAATCCCTGGGGAGGAGAGGGCCCACGCCTCGCTGGATGCCCTGATTACCTTTCACCAGTGGCAGCCGATGAGGCCACATGGGGAACTGCTGAAGCAGCCCTGTAGCCAGGTGAGGTCTGGGACCCGGGTGGGCAGTAGCTGTCTTCCTAGACTCGGTTCGCTCCCACCAGTCCCCTTCAGCCTCCTGTGATTCTGTCCTCTCAGGTCCCCCCACAGCCCCACTCCTTCTGGTCCTAGTTTCCCCTCAGGCTAATTTTTAACAAGGTTTCAGGTGCCAGGTATAACCCTAGCATAAGCCTTTTGTGGGGAAGGGGGGCGGTTAGGCCCTCAGAAGCTGCCATGAGAAGGGCAGACCTCCTTATCATGGTTTATGGGTGTGGCCTAGGCCCACATAATTTGCTGTGGGCTCTTAGAAGCTACTATCAGAAGAGCATGTTTTATTACAAGATTTGTGGGTAGGAGCAGCTCCTGAGCCCCAACTACCAGGGTCCAGGGACCCCAGCCCCATCCTTTTCCCCTTCTTGGGGCTGAGCTGCAGGTCCCCTTTGTCTCACAGAAGGATCCAGCAAATGTGGATTACCAGGACCTCTTCCTTTACTACAACGCATTGGCTGAGGAAGCTGCCAGCCCCGATCCTGGCCCCAGTGATGATCAGAATCCTTCCTCCCATCCAGCGGCTGCACCCAAGGAGGTATGTGACAGTGGGGAGAGCGCCTCCATCGTGGGGGAGGGGCAGGAGCAGAGGTGGCCAACAGCTGCCAGAGACTTTCTAGAATAAAGATAAAATCCTATAGTTCCGAGCTTAAAATCTTCCATTGATTTCCCAAGACAACAAGATTAAAATCCCGATGGCAGCCTCAGTTCCTCCTCCTACCCATCACCAGCCCAGCTTTAGCCCTTCTGCCATCCCACATCAAGCTAACTTCAGGGCCTTTGCCTGTGCCACGCTCTATGCTCTACCCCCAGATTTACCATGACTGGCTTCTTCCAGCAATTCTTCAGGTATCTCCCTCTCATCTCCAGACCTAAAGTACTCCCCTCACTATCTTCACCACACCATCCTGTTTATTTGCAACAGAGCACTCTTTGAAATTTGAAAAGTCTCATTTATTTATGTTTCCTGTCTGCCTCCCCCATCAGTGATCACCACTTCGGGGCAAGGGAGCTGGGGTAGTTATCCTCCAGATTCCATCTGTCATTGGTCAAACACTATTCCTGGGAGATTTTGGTTCTCTGGCACCTCTGGTCTGCCATGTGAACAGCGGGACCTGGTGGCCAGAGAAGGCCTCCAGGCAGGGCCCTGGTGCTGGCATTCGGCATGGAGCTGGGGGCAAAGAAGATAAGGGTGGGCCATCCACAGTATCTGCCACACATGCCACACACTTGGCCTGAACAATGGTAGATCAGGGGTCAGCAAACAATGGGCTTAGGGCCACATCTGCTTCATCGCATGTTTCTGTGTGGCCTGCAAGGCGTAGGTCCACAGAAGCTGCTGTGGGAGGGACATTTATGTTTTTGAATGGTTGAGAAAAATATTACATGTCTTGTAAACATCAGATGAAACTCAGATTTCTGTGTCATAAAGTTTTATTGGAACCCGGGCCCGCTCGCTCAACAGCAGCAAAGCTGAGTAATGACACAGAGTAGACAGCCTGCAGAGTGGAAACTATTTGCTCTTTGGCCCTTTACAGAAAAGGTTTGCTGACTCCTGGGGAGCAAGTGAAGCCAGTTACTAAATTGGAAAGGATGGGGCATGACATTAGGTTTGGGGGGTCATGGAGGTATGTTTCTTGACCCTAGGGCATCTGGGTGGGACCCAGATCCCAATTTCTGGGGCAGATTCAGAGTTCTGGTTGGTGTGCTGGCCACAGGTCTCACCTGCTCTCAGTTTCAGGCCTCTGGAAAGCCAGTCCTGCTCCATCGGCTAAAGGAGAGGAAGTCATCTGCAGAGATGGACTCGGTGCCCACAGAGGAAGCTGGTTCCTCCTGCCCTGAGAAAGCCCCTCTGGAGGAGGTCTGCCAGAAACTCTGGAAGAACCTCAAGACACTCCCCAAGACCGGCAAGAGGGTCCAGCAGCAGTTGAAATCCCACCTGGCAACCGTGAGCTCGTCATTGCTCCGGGACTCTAAGCAATCAGAGGGGACTCATGGCTCAGCGACAGGAGCAGATGATGCAGTCTGGGACAGTAACATCTACACAGACCCCTTTGTGGCCACGTCACTCGCAAGCCCCTCACAGCCTCAGGCTCTGAAAGACAGAGATGACTCTTCCAGGAAGGCCTCGAGGTCAGTCAGCTGGAGCGAGGTGACCCCAAAGACCAAGGGTTGTCACCAAGCAGTAGTAAGGGCCCTGTCCTCACAGGTGTCCAAATTGGAACCAAGGGGCTTGTCAGAACCCCAGGAGGATTGGCTCCCGGAGGAGTACCGCCTACCGCCACCCTTTGCCCCTGGGTACTGCTAGAGAAGAGGTTTGCCCTTGGTGCTAGGGGCTATTCATACCTGGGCGCCTTGCTTTCTACGCAACAGCCCTCTGGAGCCTGAGAAATGTAATAAAGACGTTGCTTAGGTCTGGTTCTGCAATTGCCAGTGGTGTGACCTGGTAACAACAATCAGTGAATCAGTTACAGCAAGGGTCTGGGGTACCTATTGTGTGCCAGTCCCATACCAGACTCTCTACGTTCTTTATTTCTTTTACGCCTCTGAGCAGGCCCACCAGGTAGGCACTTTCTGCACATCTTATAGAAGAGACTGAGGTTCAGAGTGGAGGAAAAGCATGGTCAAAGTCATCAGGCTACTGGGTGTCAGTACCAGGATTTGAATCATGTCATTTGGAGTCCTTTGCTCCACATCCCTTGCACCCAGGCTCGACTCTAATGTTTTGGCCATGGCTTCCTTCAAGTTTCTCAAGCAAACGAAGGAGATGGACTGTGGAGGGCTTGGTGCACAGTAAGCTCTCCATACACTGATGTCCACTTTAGGAAAAGCAAATGTGTCCTTTGCTTTAAAAAGGTAGAGGCCACCCAGCCGGTGTGGCTGAGTGGTTGAGTGTCGACCCATACACCAAGAGGTCACCAGTTCAATTCCTGGTCAGGGCACATGCCTAGGTTGTGGGCCAAATCCCCAGTGTGGGGCATGCAGGAGGCAGCCAATTGATGTTCTCTCTCAACAATGTTTCTATCTCTCTTTCCCTCTCCCTTCCTCTCTCTCTAAAATCAATAAAGAAAAAAAAAATTTTTAATGAAAAAGGAGCCCTGGCCTGTTTGGCTCAGTGGTTGGAGCGTCGACCTGCGGTCCAGAGAGACCCGGTTCCCGCTAAGGGCATGTACCTCGGTTGCAGTTTGTCCCCGGCCCTGGTTGGTCATGCGGGTGGCAACCACTCGATGTGTCCCTTTCACATCGATGTTTCTCTCTCTCTCTCTCTCTGTCTCTCTCTCTCTCTCTTCCTCTCTCTAGCCCTCCCACTCTATCTGAACAAAAAATGGGAAAATGTCCTCGGGTGAGGATAAAAAAAAAAGGAGAGGCAGTGTGGCTAGTGTGGCTCAGTTGGTTGAGCATCATCTCATGAACCATGCAACAAGAGGTCACGAGTTTGATTCCCAGGTTGCAGGCTTGATCCTCAGTGGAGAGCATGCAGGAGGCAGCCTATTGATATTTCTCTCTCCCATTGATGTTCTCTCTCTCTCTCTCTCTCTCTCTCCCCCTTCCTCTCTCTAAAATCAATAAAAATATATTTAAAAAATGAATGAATGAATGAATGAATGAATGAATGAATGAATGAATAAATAAATAAATAAATAAATAAAAAGGAATAGGCAGCCCAGGGCCATGGTTGGTGTGGACTCTGTGGGGGAATCCTGGGTTGCAAGGCTTTTGTGTGGCCTTTGGTGAGTCACTAGACCTCTCTGGGCCTATTTCCTTATCTGGAAAATGTGGAGAAAAGCAGTACTGCATCTCTTGTTCAAGATGAAGCAGTAGGATGTGCATAAACCCTAGGCTTTGGTGCACCATAGCTGCTTTTGATGCACAGTTGGTGTTTGGGGTGGGAGTGGGCCCTCTAGAAATGCTATGTGGTGGGGGTGTCTGGGAAGGTCCCTGGGGCTGCTCTCAGTTGCGCCATTCAAAATGACTACTCTTTGGACTGACTGGGGTCACAGGTGGGACCCCTGGGGTGGCCGCTGGTGGAGTGGGTGTGGGATTTCTCAAATCCACAAAGGGGAGAGGTCTGGAATCTGGAGTGAGCTGGGCTTGGGGTCAAGTCTGCCTCTAGATGACTTGAAGTGTGGTTTTGGGCAAGTCACTCTGTTCCCTCTGAATGAAGTGTGACTGGTCCTTGCCAGCCCTGCTGGGATGGTTCACAGGCATCCAATGCGATGGCAGAGGGGCAGGTGCTGCATAAACTTAAAGTACTGTGCCCATTTCAGTGAGTGACATTCCTGCCACCCCCTCAGTGGCCTCCCCTGGCAGTTTGAATAACTAAGCAAGGAGTTAAACCTTCGATCCCTATGAGGACTTCAGGGATTGAGGAAAAAGGGGACTTGAGCTGTTGGGGTAGGGTTAGGCCTTGGGGACCCCTGGGGTAGGACAGCATGCCTCATCTGCACACCTCATCTCTGCTCACCAAGACCCTCAGCAAAGCATTTCCAGCCTTTACAGTGGGGAGAGATCTAGGAGTCAGACTTTTTTTTTTTTATCCTCACCCAAGGACACTTTTGCATTTATCTTCAGATAGAGCAAGAGGGAGAGAGAATGGAAGAGAGAGAGACATCAACATGAGAGACACATTGACTGGCCGCCACCCACACGACCCCAACCGGGGCCAGGGACAACCTGAAACCGATGTAACGCGCCCTTAGTGACAACCAAACCTGGGACTCTCTGGTCCGCAGGCCAACACTCTAATCTCTGTGCCAAACCGGCCAGGGCTAGGAGTCAGACTCTTTATACAGTCAGGGAAGTGGTAGCCCAGAGAGGCTGCAGCCACGTCTAGGGTCACCGAAGGAGAGCAGAGGTGAGATCCCAGGTCTCCTCTCTCCCATCCACCAGGTTTAAGGTAGACATGTGTCATCCCAGCAGGTGTGACTCAGTGATGTGTTTATTGCCAGAGTCCAGATTCTACAGTGGGGTGAGGGGTCACCCTATCAAGCTCCGGCCCGGCTCCTCCATGGTGTCCTCAGATGCGGATGTGGAAGGTGCTGTGTGCAAAGAGGAAAGGACTCAGTGTCATCAGGCAGAAGGCAGCCCTCCCGCATCTTCCTCCCCAACACTCCCGTAGGGAGTCCCCTAGGCAGGCCAGTAGTCACATGGGATGAACCCCCTCAAGAAGCCCTAGGCTGTGAGCTTCCCCAGTGTTTGGGAGCACATTTCTCTGAATCAAAGTTTACATGTAGACTTGCTGTAGGACTCTGAGGGAGTGGCTGCCCCTCTCCGGGCTTCAGTTTACTCCCCTGTGAAGTGGGGATCATAGCTGTCCCTCCTTCATAGGGCTGTATTGAGGGCTGGGAGCAGGACACACAGAAGGTGCTCCATTGTCCCACTGTCATTCATGTCTCCTCGCCAGGAGACCAGCTGTGCTTATCCAAGGCAGAGAAAGGAGATGCTCTGGCATGTGAGGACACCGATGGCAGCAGCCACACCAGCAACCACAGCACACAGTTCCTGAGCACCTACTGTGTGCCAGGCACTGCTCTAAATTTTTTCCATGTACTGACTTGGGGGTCAGCCAACTTTTTTCTAAAAAGGGCCAAATAGCTGATATTTCCAACTTTACACAACGACTAAACTCTGCCTTGTAACTCGAAAGCAGCCTTAGACAATATGTACACCAAGGGTGTGACTGTGTCAGTAAAACTGTTGATGAGCCTGCAAATTTCAACTTCATATCACTTAGGCCCTGGCCGGCTTGGCTCAGCGGTTCGAGCGTCGGCCCAAGGACCAAGAGTCGTAGGTTCGATTCTGGTCTAGGGCATGTACCTCAGTTGTGGTTCCATCCCCAGTCCTGGTTAGGGTCGTTCAGGAGGCAACCAGTTGATGTGTCCATCTCACATCAATGTTTCTCCCCCCCCCCCCCAACTCTATCTTAAAAAGCAATGGAAAAATATCCTCTGGTGAGAATTTTTTAAAAGTCAATTTCATATCACTTTCAAGTGTCATGGAGTATTATTATTCTTTGATATTTTCCCCCTCAAACATTTAAAAATGCAATTTAAAAACTATTTTTAGCTCATTGGTACAAAAAACAGGTGGTGGGCAACCTCCTGTACTAACTCATGTAACCTTTGCAATCCGCCCTCCAGTGGGGGCTCTGATTCTCCCCAGGGCTACCAAGTACAGTTGTACAGTGTGTCCACTGCAACATATTCAGGCAAGTGAGGCTGAAGTTCATCCAAAGAGCTGTGAGGTTCCTAATTATCCCTATTTTAAAGATGCAGGGACTGAGCCCAGGGAGGCTGAGAAGGTTCCCCAAGTTCACAAACAAATGAATGAAGGAACTTTTGCAAATGGAGTCTATGAACTAGTCCCATCAGATCCTTCCTCACACGTGGAAATGACTGTGTGCACTGAAAAGAGTGTCACCTGAGGAAGTCGGGTGCCCGCAGGATCATGTTCTGGAAGTCTTCCAGGGACAGCCGCCCATCATGGTCTCCATCGGCCTCATCCAGCACCTTCTCGCACACCAGGGTCACCTCTTCAGAGCTCAGCTCCCCTCGTGTCAGCTTGGTCACCGTCTGCTCCAGGTCCCACATACAGATGTAGTCATCGTTGTTAAAGTCTGTGAAGTAGTATGGATGGGAACATGGGGTGGCAGACAGCAAGTGGCAAGCAGGCTGGGCCGGCATGGGCATATCTTGTCTCCATGTTACAGAGGAGGAAACTGAGGCACCAGAGGGAACCTAAGACCCTCAGAGAAAAACTGGGTCTCGCTCTGAATTGGGCATGGACAAGTTCATTTGTTCATACATTCTACAGTATGTATTGAGTACCTACTATATGCCAGGTAACATGATAACTTTTTCATTCATTCATTCACTCAACATTTATTTATTGAGCACTTATTATGTACCAGGCAACATGAACTCTGTTTTTAATTCATTCATTCAACAAGTATTTATTGAGCACTATGTGGCAGGTACAGGAGGCAGACGGTGAACCAAACAGACACTGTTGCTGCCCTGGGTCTCCTCAGAGAAAAATCAATAAGAAGTAAATAGATCAATGGACAAGAAATTAAGCAGCATTATTCCATGCTAGGAGAGAAATCAAATGGGGAGTGGAGAATGACTGAGGGAGGGGTGGGGGCTACTTTTGACCAAGACTTTAAGATAAGAAGGAGCCAGGAGAAAGGTATTCTGGGAAGAGGATACAGCAGAGGCAAAGGCTGGGAGATAGAGTTTGGAGTGTTGGAGGAAGAGTGAGACCAGTGTGTCTGGAACAGAGTGAGCAAGGAGATGAGGTCAGGAGGTATGGGGTGAGTGGAAGACAAAACAGAGCTGGGCCTTGAAGCACTTGGGGAGACACTGTGACAAAGGGCAGCTCCTGATCCTGGAGCTGGGCTTGTTTCTACTCCCCACCACACAGCCCCTACCCTGGACCCTGCACGCACCATAGATTTTAAAAGCATAGTAGGCTTTGAGGTCACGGGGAGCCATTTCACTCATCACTGAAAACATGTCCAGGAAGTTGTCCAGGGTCATGTGGCCATCCCCATCCTCAGAGAAGACCTGGGCAATCCTTTGACGGAACGGGTTGTCCTGGGGACAGGAAGCAGGGCAGCCATCACTGACTAGGGTCTCAGGCTCCACATGGTCTCATTCTCAGCATCCACCTTCTTGGGAACCCCCGAGTACCCCCCACCAAGACTCCCTCCCTCTCATGGTCCCTAGAAAGGACTTCAGGCACTTCCACACTCTGTTCCTATGCTCTGGGTGGTGGTGTCTCTACTTCCAGCTACAGAGGCAGCCACGTGGCCCTGGTAAGGACAATCAGAGATTTCCATTCACCTGGCAACTGTGATTGGCTCTGTGATAGGCATGTGACAAAGTGGCCAACCAGAGGCTGCCCTAGGATGTTTTTTAAAAAATTGGGGTGACGGGATCTGCTTTCTGCTGGTTACAGAGCTGACAGGAGGAAACCTGGGCACTGGGCGGTTCCCTGTACTATCTCAAGAAGAAGGGCTGATTCAGACTGACGCCTCGTCCTGGGAGGATCTGAGAGCTGGAAGGAGATTCCGAAGCCCATCCTCAGAGACCCTGGTTCCTGCTGTACCTGATGCTAGTCCTGCGCCTGGATTTTTTTGCTCATGTGATCTAATCCATTCTGTCCCTTTTGAATAAGGTTTTTGTCCCAGTCATCTCTGTGCACAGTCACTCACTCCACAAGTCCCCTTCAGAGGCACAAACCATGTGTTGCATATCCAGCTAAGAGGAACCTGTATTTAGCTGCTCTTACTATGAAAAGAACTAACATTCCCTAAGTGCCTGCCATGCAACAAGCCTTGTGTTAAGCCCTTGCCTGCTTTATCCTATCTCATCCTCCCAACAAGCCAGGATTTGAATCCTGTCTCTGTCACGTCCTGGCTGTGTAGCCATGAACAAGTGTCTTAACCTCTCTGAACTTCAATTTTCTCATCCATAAAATGGAAATAATTGCAGCACTCACCTCATAGGAATGCAGCAAGGAACAATGCTCTATTTTCCCCTGCCCTCCCCAATGCCTCGGCATACCTTCAGCTCGGGCATGCTGCTGATGAGCTCATAAGGCACCTTCACATCAGGGTAGCTGGTATAGTCAAGGGGGACAAGCTGGGGAGCCAGGTCCTGATAGCGATAGAAGAGCCTGGTACAGGGATAGAAACACCGGGAAGGGTTGGGAGATGATGTGAGGGAGTGGACTTGACCCATTCTCTCTCACTCGCAGGTGCTCACTCCATACTGAAAGATGCTGGGTCCTAAGAGCCATCAGCCCTAGGCACAGTCTTCAGGCACACAGGCACTTCTCTATCCCTGGGGTCACAGCCAAGAGGGCCCCAGAGCTCAGGGGAAAGCAGGCCAGGGAGGAGGAAGGACTTTCTGAAGGAGGAGGCATTGGTGCTGGGCTTTGAAGCATGAATAGAAGCTCACCAGGTAGATTGGGTTGGCAGACGAGTGAGTACTTAAGGCGAGGTCATTTTACAATAAGCATTTTGAGAATCTGAGCCAACCTATGAATCTCTGGACATCATCACGTTATTGGCAAAACTATGCCTCTAAAGATCCCCATCTTCATTCTTTCCTTCTCTCCCTTATGAGAAGCAGGCTTCCCTCAATGGGGCAGAGCAAAGACAAAGGCTATTATTCATTTTTTTGAAACAGTGACTAAAATGCATTTTGGAAAACACCAAATGTCTACACACTACCTAGTCTGGGAGGCCAGCTCTCCACTCTGATGACCTCACCTGGGGATGTCGTACCGTCATTGGAGCATGCTGAGCGGCAGCCTTGTAGAGACCATCCTTGATGAGTTAGAGGTCCCCAAGCTTGTAGAGACTGTCTCAGAAGGGGACAGGAGCCCCTGGGCCATATGCTGACTAGGAACTTAAGGAGGGAGTATCCAGAATTTAGTCATGACCACCCAGTTCCTTATTTGAGTACCCTCTGGGAACAACCTGAGTTTGAGTTTCTGTATGGACTTGAGCAAGTCCCTCTTCCCCTCTGAGCCTCAGTCAGTCAGTCTAACAGGTGAGAAGCTTGGGACAGACCAAGTGTCAGCCCTCAAATTCCTTGGGACTTGACCCATCTAAAAAGCCAGAGTCAGCCTCCCCTGTGCAAGCCTCAGTTTCCCCATTAGTAATTTGATCATCATGGCCAGGGTGACCCTGCCAACTGTCCTCACCCAGACAATGGGGCTCACTCATGAAAGGTGTGCCCATCAATAATGGATGTCCTATGCCCACACAATTGGACCCTTGGCCTCAATCACTCTGCAGCCAAACCTTGGCCAGCTTAGGTTTCACAGCTCCAAGTTCCTGGGTCAGGGCCTCTGGACAATGGCACCATGGGCCGAGCGATGATGCCGGATACCCATCTATGCCTGTCTCACTCACGCCAGGGACTTGCAGCTGCCTCAGGGTGCCTCACCATACCCTCACCTTGATGCCATCCCCATAGCCCAGAGAGGGCTGTGGACTCTGCCTCTGGACTCCCAGCCTCCAGTCCCAACCTCTTCACATTGGCCTCAGGGAGGACTTTCTAACATGCTGATTTGTCTCTTCTCTGCTCACACACTCTCCATGGCTCCCTGCCACCCTCAGGAGAAAGTTCAAGCTTGTCACATTAAAGGCATGACAATAAGACAAAATACGACTTCTCAACCTCCCCACCTCTGCTCCATCTACTGAAAATGAGCACTCTGCCGTGAATCATTGAGTCTTGTCAAACTGCAAACATCCCCCAGCAATGTATAGAAAGTTGTTTCCAGGTCTTCCTCCCTTCCTCCCCAGACTGACCTCATGATCTCCTTCCTTGTGAAGAAGGTGCAGTCCTGCGGAGAGAGATGCTGGCTTGGCCCAGACCTTGCCCAGGGGGCCTCCTCCTCTCCCCACCACCCCATGCTCATCTCTGCTGATGCTGCACACAGGAACCCTTGCTGACTGCACACCCGGGACCAAGGGATGCTGTTCCCATTCCTCAGGCCAGGAATCCAAGGTTGCCAAACCCACTAAGGACCCTGCCCATCCCTCCTACCTGATATGCTTCCAACTGCTCATGAGTGAAGACTGTTTGCTTGTTGCCCATGGTGAAGGCCACCACCAGGAACAGGCTCCAGAAGCCCCCAGTCTCCCCAGGGCCATGCGGTTGCCAGGCTGCCACACATCAGTGTCTGGGAAAATCTCCCTGCCCTGGCTGTCACCCGCCCACCCGCTCCATCACCCCCAGCCTGGGTGAGACTCAAGTTACAGCCAAGCTCTTTGGACAACAGCCTGAATATGTCCATGGCCACCAGGGCAAGGAGAAGGGCTGTGGGAGGTCACAGAGCCTCAGACCACATCTGCCATCACCGGGTGAGCCTATGAAGAAAGAATACCTTTGAGAGACAGGCAGGGTGGTGGAGAGGCTGCAAGCACACTCCAACTCAAATACCAATTCTCCACCCATGAGCTGTGCTGCTTCAGGCAAGTCACCTGACCTCTCTGAGCCTTGTTTTATAAGATGGAAATTACTTTAGTACCTACCACATAGAGCTGTTTTGAAGATCTAATAATCATCAACAGGCATAAGTTTCAGTAAACAAGGTGAATAAGCTCTAAGATCTGCTGCACAACATTGTACAACATTAATGTATTGTACATTTAAATTTTTCTTAAGAGGATAGGTCTCATGTTAAGTGTTCTTACCACAAAAACAATAAATAAATAAAATAAATAAAAACATGCAACTATCATGTGATCCAGCACTTGCACTCTTGAGCAGGCCAGAGAAATGAAAACTTATGTTCACACAAAAAGCTATAATGGATGTCTTATGGAAAACACCCCATATGTCCTCTCCCCTTAGAATATAAGCTATAAATGGGGCAATATAAACTCAAATGGACAAAAATTCATTCAGGGTGGGGCCCAAAAATCTTAGTTGTTTCAATAGTTTGTGGCCCTCCAAAGCTCCACCCTCCCTGACAAAATCTTATTCATCAGCATTTAACTTCTCTCATTAAATTAAAATTAAGTTAAAGTGTTTTTAGGGGGTGATAATGAGAAAAAAGGTTGAGAAATACTGTCTTAAAGGTATTTACACACATTTACAATGGACAGTTTCATAGTGTGGTGACAAAAGCAAGTATGGAACACTTAGCCTTGATTGGATCACAATTGTGCCTCAGTTTCCCTACCTACAAAATCAGGATGGTTTATGTAATAGGGAGCCTGTAAGAGTAAATTAGATGAACCCTGGCTAGTTTGGCTCAGAGGTTAGAGCGTGGGCCTGTGGACCAGAGAGTCCCGGATTCGGTTTCCGCTAAGGGCACCTACCTCGATTGCAGTTCGCCTGGCCCCGGTTGGGGTTGTGTGGGTGGCAGCCAGTCGACATGTTTCTCTCACATTGATGGTTTTCTCTCTCTTCCTCCCTCTCTCCTTCCTGCTCTATCTGAAGATAAATGCAAGTGTCCTCGGATGAGGATAAAACAAAATAAAAATAAAGTACAAGTTTCTTTTAAAAAAAAGAGTAAATGAGATGATTCATATAAATTCATACAAAGTATTAACTGTTGTTATCATTGTCCCCATTTTATTAGGAAAGGGAAGAACAGAGACGTCAAGACCCTTGCTCCAGGGCACACAACCTTGGAAGTGCCAGAGACCAGCTCCAGTTGAGTGTTTCCTGTCCCTCTCTGAGGAGCTGATTCTGTCAAGGACAGCCCCAAACGGAAACTGGCACAGACTGGCAGCCCCCATCCTTCTCTTTGGGCACACATCCAATTCTGGAATGCCAAAGGGTGAGCCTCTGGCTGGAGAACTGGGTAGTCACTTGCTGCCCCCCGCAGGCAGAACTGGGAAATTCAAGCACCGAGACATCCTTTGTCCAGAGTCGTCTAGATTTGGGTATGCTTGCTTTTTCTCTCTCTCCTTCTTCCCCTACAATTTGGACAAACTAAAATGCATATTACCCATTGAACCCTCAAAATATGGCAAGAAAATAAAACAAGACATCCAAATGCACGCAGAACACTAAAAAAAGACGTTGGGTTTTTAAGAAATGCGGTTTGTCAAGTTAGCTTTACTTGTGGGGAAACCAAGAGCAAAAAAACCGGAAGTGAGTGCCAAAGCCGGAAGTGTGTCGAGACCAGATGAGAAGGAGGCGGTAGAGCCTGACTCTCCAGGACTAGCCGGTCACCCGGAAGTGTGGCGGAGTCAGATACCGAAGGCGCATGAACACCGCTTAGCTCGGCCAATGAAGACGGAGTGAGGCGGAAGTTGGGCCGCACACAGCGTTCTCAAACAGGAAGTGTGGCTGTTTGTTTCTGAACTGCGGCCAGGCGCCATGGCGGCCTACGAGCAGGTCCAGAAGGGGCCCTTGAAGCTGAAAGGCGTCGCAGAGCTCGGCGTGACCAAGAGGTGAGTCCCAAGAGCCGGCGGGAACCCATCTTTTGCCCCCTTAAGCCACTTTCTGAGACCCTGGGCTCTTGCTCTTTTACCCGACCTTACCCCGCTTCCATCCCCAATCCGGACTCCCTTCCCAGGAAGAAGAAGAAGAAGGACAAAGACAAGGCAAAACTCCTGGAAGCCATGGGAACGAGCAAAAAGAACGAGGAGGAGAAGAGGCGCGGCCTGGACAAGCGGACCCCGGCCCAGGCGGCCTTCGAGAAGATGCAGGAGAAGCGGGTGAGTAGGCTGGGGATGCCCCGCTCCGTGGGCCCGGGTTTCTCGGAGTGGGTGCTTAGGAAGGGCCAGGAGACCAGAAACCCAGACAGCCCCAGGACGCTTGGAGGAGGGCGAGCAGAGAGGACCTTAATTCCGGGGAGGGGATGCTTTGTGAGAAGAACAACCCACTACTTGGGGAGCTCTGAGGACAGGAAGCCCCTCAGGCCCCGGTGGACGGCAGATGGAAGAGCTAGAGCTGGAGACCCGGGTTTGGATTCCAGTGCTGTCCCTCATTTGCCCCGTGACAGGGGGCAAGTAACTCATCTTCTCCCCCTGCCTCATTTTTCTCATCTGTAGGGGTCAGGATAGTAATTTTTTAAAAAGAGGAATTAGACTTTTAAAATGCAAGTATAGCATTTGTTACTAGGTCTGGTATAAGGTCAACGCTCAGTTGATGTTAGTTCTTGATATTAAATGGCTGTACTCCAAGTCACCATAAAGTCTGTTTCCATGACTTGTTGGCAGATTCAATTATGTTTTTTTAAGGCTCTGTTAAGGTGTTTATTTTAATGTTAAACACTTAATAAATGTGGGCAGTTGGGGACAGGAGGAATCAGCCTTAGATAGATAAGCTTGGCCCTTACACTGGGCGGGGGGAGGGAGTAATAGGTCTATTTTAGTGGTTCTCAACTGAGGGCCATTTTGTCCCCCTACTTACATTCCCAAGAAGTCATTTGGCAATGTTTGGAGACATTTTTGTTTGTCATATAACTCAGGCTGGGTGCTCCTGGCATCTAGTGGGGTGGAGGCCAGGGATGCTGCTGTGTATCCTACAGTGCTTGAGACAGCGCATCCTACAGGAAAGAATGATCTAATCCAAAATGTCAACGGTGTCCAGGCTGAGAAACTAATGCTGGTCTGGGTGATATTAGGGGAAAGTTTACTCATTGCTCCTACACCTAATTCAGTCATCAAAAAAAAGGGGGGGGGGGGGCGAGATGCACTGACTTTGGCAAAATAGACCTGGGTTCTACTCTGTCTCTACCGTTTGTTGGTGGTGTAACTCTGGGCAAGTGGGCTAACCTTCCATGCCTCAGTTTCTTCATCTGTAAAGTGGAGCTGAAGTCCCTACCTCACTGTTTTGTGGTGAGGATTTAACAAGTGAATGTACTTAAGTCCCTTCCCTAAGGTTATAGTCAGGAGCAGGGCTGAACTGTTATTACTGAATCAGGGGTGGGGTAGGGAAGAGGCTAATGCAACCTACAAGGTCAGGCAGTAATAGTGGAAGCTATGGAAGGTGTTGGGTTTGGGATAGATTGGGTGTGGGCCAGGAAAAAGAATCAAGGATGACCAAGATTTTTTAGCAGGAGAAGCTGGGTGAATGAATGCACCGGTTACTAAGATAGGAAGGACTGCTGGTAAGGCACATTTCTAAAGGAAGGTATCAAGATCTCGGATTTTAGGAAAGTCAGATTTGAGGTGCCTGTTAGAAATTCAAGTGGAGAATTCTCGTGGACAGTTTGCCATCTGAATCTGCAGTTTGATGGAGAGGTCTGGGCCCCAGATAAACATTTGAAATTGCTGTGGGATTGGATGAACTCCTCTGAGGAGGGACAGTGACAGAAGAGGTCTGAGGTCTGACATCTGGAGATTAGAGGGTGGCAGAGAAGAAATAGCAAAGGAGCATGGGAAGGAGGAATAACAGGTGAGAGTGTGTTTTGGAGCTGAGTGGGAAAGTGTTTTGAGGAGGAGGAAGTGAGTGATCAACTAAGTCATATGCTGCCAAGAGGTCTCATGAGGTGCGCATGGAGAGCCCTTAGTTCACATTTGGAATGAGGAGGAAGAAAGACTGATTAAACATGATATTGTATGTTAACTATAATTAAAAATAAATGTAAAAAGAAAGGTAGATTAGAATCGATCCAAGAGAAGGTGGGGAAAGGCAGAGATGGAGACAAGGAATAGAAATGGCTCTTGGGAGATTTACTGTCAAGGGGAATAGAAAAATGGGCCTGTAACTGAAGGTGGTGGAAGGTCAAGAGGAAATTTTTGTTGTTGGCATTTAAAACGGGAACTACTGTAGCCGTGTTTTGTTTTGTTTTTTGACCCAGGAGAAAGGTGAGGTGACCCAGGAGAGAGAGGTGAGGTGGATGAGACACAAGGGGGAGGTATGGGCAAAGCTAGGTACAGTTGGGCAATGCAGACTCCCTCATGGAAGGTGTTTGAGGAGTGCAGGGAGCATGAAGGCTGGATAGCTCCCGAGTGTCAGGCCCTTGAGGTGGGCCCCCGCATGTTGGAACGGGTCAGGGCTTGGTATCTCCAGGTTCATTACCAGCTGTGCACTCTGGTTCTTATTTTCTTTTCTTTTTAATTCTCGCCCGAGGATATTTTTCTATTTATCTTCAGATAGAGAGAGGGGGAGACAGGGAGAGGGACACATCAACTGGTTGCCTCCCGCCTGACCCGACCAGGTCCGGGGATGAACCACAACCAAAGTACATGCCCTTGGCCGGAATCGAACCCAGAATTCATTGGTCCACGGGCCAATGCTCTACTGCTGAGCCAAACTGGCCAGGGCAGTTCTTATTTTCTCTGTGTGTGAAGTAGAGATGATGACAGCACCCAAGACACCCTGTAAACTTGGTGCATGGAGTCAGGAGAGAGGAGGCAGAACCTTGCCAAGGGCCTGGGATTGGTGACAGCTGCTAAAGTCAGTCTGGCCTCAGTGAGGAGACACAGGCCGCATGTGGGCTCACAGCTGCAAGAAGAAAGGCAGGGATGGACAGGGCACACACTTCAGAGGGAGGGTCAGCGATTTGGAACTGTCTTGAGGCAGAGGGAGATGAAGCAGCAAAGGAGAAGAAGAGGGAGAGGGAGCAACAGCCAGATGGCAGCTGACAGTATTATCTCATGGGTCTGGGTAGACTGGGCTTAGCTGTGGTTCTGCTGACCTTGCTTAGAGTTTGTTGCAGTCAGATGGCAGTTGAGGCTGGAGGCCCAGCTGGGCTGGAACATCCAAGTTGGCTTTGCCATCACATGCCCATTGCTTCTGTGCCCTTTCCTTGGCTTCTACTCCAACCCCCCCATGTCATTTCATATGACATGTCCTTTCTTTCTAGTGAAGTCATCAGACTTCTTGCAGGATAGCTGGCTTCCAAGGGTACAAAGCAAAACATGCTGGGTCTTCTTATGGCTTCTGACTAGTACTGACACTACATTCTTTTAAGTAAAGTGAGTCATGGGACCAGTCCAGAATCAGTGCAGTCAGACAGCTGCACAAAGCCATGAATACCAGGCAGCGCAGTTTCTGGATGTATAGGGGGAGGGGTGGGCGACCAAAGTGAGTTGGCCACAGTCACCTAGCTAGTAAGTATAGAACCTGGTGCAGCTCCAGGTCTGTCTGGCTCTGCATCCCACTCTCAACTCTTACCAGGTACCACTGGGTATCGGGAGTGGTGGGGCAGGTCATAGTCGTGCTGGATACATAATCTAGAATCACTCATGAAGGTGATCTGGATCTTGTAGCTCTCCTGGCACAGTGAGCATCAAGATGGATATCATCGCTCAAGCACCTACTACTATGTGTCAGGCCCTTTCCTCATTTCTCATCCTTCCTCAAACCCCATCTGGGACTTTTTTTAAATGGGAATTCTGGCAGTTGCCCAAGGAAGCAGGAAGCACTTGTACAGCTTCCAGCAGAGTCTACCCAAGTCAATGCTAGTACATTTCCTGCCACACAGGCCAAATGCCAGCTGACCTGGATTTCTAGTGGGGTGTACTGTAGCCACGTGTTCCTGTCGGACCAGCCTGAGTGGAATTGAGGGACCTGAGATCCCCAGTTGTTTTAGGTTTGAGAGCCAGGCCAGCCAGGGCTCCCATCTTCCATCCTGTGCTGGCCTGGGCTATGTAGAGCACCTGACTCACCTGCATTTCTCTCCTCTCTTCAGCAAATGGAAAGGATCCTGAAAAAAGCCTCCAGAACCCACAAGCAAAGAGTGGAGGTAAGTCAGCATGTCCAGTGGGGGGAGGCTGAGCCAGTGGAGGTAGGTCCCAGCTGGGCCCAGAGGCTTGGAGCCAGCCAGGCAAAGGAGTCACTGGAGTGTCAGTGGGGAGGGGGTTTACCCAAACTCCCTGAGGTCATTGAGGGGAGAGGCCGGGGTTCAGGTGGCTATAAGGCTTGGTAGGATGGTTTGAGAGGAGGGGGCTCACTGAGGGGAGACAGGATATGGAGAAGTGGGGGTGGATGGTGCCATGTGTCCCTAATTCCCTGCTTGGTGCTGTGATGACATGGGCTTTTTCTTTGGCTTCCCCAGGACTTCAACAGACATCTGGATACACTCACAGAGCACTATGACATTCCCAAAGTCAGCTGGACGAAATAGCCTCCCCGCCCAGAGTATGGAGTGGCACCGAGGGGAAACAAAAGGCCAAGTTGGGGTTATGTTTGGTGCCTTTGGTATTTTCTAGAAACATTCTTTTATACACAGCCTGCATCTTCTGCTGAAACTTTGCTTTTCAAAGCAGTGTGCTCTCATTCTGGAACTTGATTAAAGTAAGATTAACTTTTTACTTTATTTCAGTTTCTCAGTAGCACACTGAAGATGAACCTTTTTAGTTTGGACTGGAAATTATTGAGAGTTTATCCAGAGATTAAGGTTATTTCTGTGTAAGTGCTGTGGAAGTGTTTTTATACCCAAGCTGCATCTAACTCATTTTGACAGCCAGCCAGCTATTTTTGCCTGGATGAAACTGACTCCAAAGGAGAAGAAGCTGCAACATGCAGACCCCATGGGGCCCTACATGGGCTGCCCTTCCAAGCTCCCTCTAGCTTGGGGCCTATGCTATTCCATCCAGAGCTTGGGGGAGCCACTTGCAGCTTTGTAGCTGTCTCAGCCATCTGGCCAGGGAGAATAACCACCCAAGACAAGGATGGAATGAACACCTTTCTCCTTTCTGAGCTGAGCTGGTGGCTGGCATGCAGCCTGTTTGCCCAGTCTCCCCATTCCAGGCATGTCAAGTGGGTGTTGCCAGGCAGACATTGCCAGTCAAGCACCACATTCTTTGTAATGGAACCCAGACACTGCCTGCCTCACTGCCCTCACCCCTGGGCTCCAGGCATCCTCCAGTGTTTATTCAGAGTTGGCACATACATGGAACCTGTTTGGCATTCCTGGCCTAAGGACACCTCAGGGTAATGGGACCAGGGCAGAGCCCCAGCACAGAGAAACATGGGTGCAGTCTAAGGGGGAGGACCCAGGTTCCAGTGCTGCACAGCCTTGGTCTTTGAGGGCCTGTGTGTCCCCAGCACATGAGGATCAGACTGTATATGCTACTGGGAAAAACAATCTCTGTTGACATAGATCTGAAAAAACAAATTGAGAAGAGAAAAATCTAAATGGGTTTGGGGCTGTCATGTGTGAACTACAGAATAAAGCCAACTAGTTATTAAATATAAGTCTGAGTGTTTCACTTACAGGCTGTTTATCACTAGATACTGTGTTTATCACTAGAAACTCTCCCTTTGGGATTTATTGCACATGAAGGATGTGTGCTGCAAAACAACTACTTGCCCTCAGTTTGAAGATGTGTTTTCACCTGTGGTTCTCACAACCCACATAAGAGAGGTGACATCCTTTCATTACCACTGGCTACTTTGGGCAGCCTTCCCTATTACCTGGTAGAAAGGCACCTGTAGGTCTTTTTTTATCCACAAGCCAGTGGTTGGGGTCTGAGCATGATGTGCTGTGAAAAGTCAGTACGTGGAAGATAAACATTCCAATTCTCCCTGCCTAACAAACTGCTCCAAAATGGAGTGGCTTAACACCACAGGATTTCTCTCTCCCAATTCTGTTGGTTGGGTGTGCTCAGTGGTTCTGTTCCATGTGGTATAGTTTAGTTCCACCGCATAGCTGTGTTGATTTGCCTGGAGCCAGAAAGTCCAAGGTGGTATCTTATCCTCGAGATTTCTCTGCACATGAGCGATTTCATTGGCCAATACAAGTCACATCATCCAGTCTGGGAGGGAACTACTCAAAGGCCTGAACACCAGGAGACATGGTTCATTGGTGGCCATCACAGTCTTTCATAATGGCTCTCAAATTCTGCTGAATGTTAGACATTAAAAACCAGTTTGGGGCGGTTTGGCTCAACAGTTAGAGCGTCAGCCTGCGGACCAGAGAGTTCCAGGTTCGGGTCCCATTAAAGGCACGTACCTCGGAGCTCCCCAGATGACCCTAATAGGCAGCAAATTTTGAGAAACCCTGATTTACCACAATAAATGGTGTTTTTTTCCTGAGATGTTGCAGAAGCTAAATCTGGTTTATACATTAAAATATAAATGCCAAGGATGAAATTCAGATGTGACTCAAATTCCTCCACATAAGGAGAAAAGATTACAAGTAATTATGTGAAGAGTGTTTACTGTGAGTTCTCTTGGCACTTGGGAGTCTGTTTCCTCAAAAGATGTTTTTCCTCCCAGCCCCTGTGATACTGTATTTAAACATCTAAAACTCCCAGAGCAAACCTGAAAGGAAATGTACCATAATGAGAGAAGTTACCTCTGGCTGGTTTTTCTTTTTGCATAACTTTCGGCATTTCCTCAGTTGTTTTTGTATGTGTTTGTTTTTCAGTGTGACATATAGTTCTGTAGTTTAAAAAAGACATGTTTTTCTAACACTGGTAAAGTATGAAGCTAGGGTTTCTTATAAGAACATTGTCAAAAAGCCTCTCTGGGCAGCTTTGTGCAAGAATGCTTCCAGACCAGGATTTACTTAGCAGTCCTCAAATATTCCAGTGTTCTCTGGATTTTCCTGCACTTATATCTCTATTCTAAGCAGAGGATATATTGCAAAAGCCATCTTTCAAAACTTCAGAGATAGGAGGAGAAGGAATGATCAAAAGTGAGAGGCAGGCACCCTGGCCGGTAGTTCAGTTGGTTGGAGCATGGACCCATAACCAAAAGGTTGTAGGTTCGATTCCTGGTCAAAGCCCATACCTAGGTTGCAGGTTTGATCCCAAGGTCGAGTTGGCAACTGATCGATGTTTCTCTCACACCGATTTTTCTCTCACACCGATTTCCTCTCTAAAAACCAATAAAAACATCTTGGGGTGAGGATTTTTAAAAAGTGAGAGGCATTTTGTCGAATGCTTTTTCAGCATCTACTGATAAGCTCAGCAATGTGGGAATAGAGGCATCATATCTCGACATAATAAAGGCCATATATGAAAGACCTACAACCAACATCATACTCAATGGGCAAAAACTAAAAGCATTTCCTTCAAGAAGAGGAACAAGACAGGAATGCTTACTTTCACCACTCTTATTTAACATAGTACTGGAAGTCTTAGCCACAGCAATCAGACATGAAGAAAAAATAAATGGGATCCAAATTGGAAAGGAGGAAGCGAAACTGTCATTATTTGCAGATGACATGATATTATACATAGAAAACCCTAAAGACTCCATCAAAAATCTACTAGACTTAAATGAATCTGGCAAAGTAGCAGGATACAAAATTAACGTCAAGAAATCGATGGCATTCTTATACACCAATGATGAAGTCACAGAAAGAGAAACTAAACAATCCCATTTACCATCATGGCAAAAAAGTTAAGATACCTAGTAATAAACTTAACCAAAGAAGTAAAGGACCTATTTGCAGAAAACTACAGGACATTCAAAAAAGAAATAGAGGAAGATATAAAAAAGTGGAAGCACATACCTTGTTCATGGATGGGAAGAATTAACATCATTAAAATGTCCATACTACCCAGTACAATCTATAGATTCAATGCAATCCCCTTTAAAATACCAACAACATATTTCACAGAACTAGAACAAATACTCCAAAAGTTTATATGAAACCAAAAAGGACCCCGAATAGCCACAGCAAGCTTGAAAAAGAAGAATAAAGTAGGAGAGATCATAATACCAGATATCAGGTTTAAACTTCAAAGCCACTGTAATTAGAACAGCCTGGTACTGGCATAAGAACAGACCTATAGATCAATGGAACAGAACAGAGAACTCAGAAATTGACCCAAGACATTATGCTCAATTAATATTTGACAAAGGTGGTAAGAGCATACAATAAAGACAATCTTTTTGTGTGTGTGTGTGGTACGTGCCCCTAGTGGGAACCAAACTCAGGACTCTCTGGTCCGCAGGTCGACGCTCAACCGCTGAGCCAAACTGGCCAGGCAAACTGGCCAGGGAGAGAGAGAGAGAGAACATCAATGGGAAAGAGAAATATCAATAGGCTGCCTCCTGCATGCTCTCCACTGAGGATCAAGCCTGCAACCTGGGAATCAAACTCGTGACCTCTTGTTGCATGGTTCATGAGATGATGCTCAACCAATTAAGCCACACTACCCAGGGCTGCCTCTCCTTTTTTTTTTTAATCCTCACCTGAGGACATTTTCCCTTTTTTTTTTTTTTTTTGTTCAGATAGAGTGGGGGGGAGGGAGGGGGGGAGGGGAGAGAGAGAGAGAGAGAGAGAGAGAGAGAGAGAGAGAGAGAGACATCGACGTGAAAGGGACACATAGAGTGGCTGCCACCCGCACGACCAACCAGGGCCAGGGACAAACTGCAACCGAGGTACGCGCCCTAAGCGGGAACCCGACCCGGGTGTCTCTGGACCGCAGGCCGAGGTGCTAACCGCTGAGTCAAACCGGCCAGGGCGGTAGTGACTGTTGATTCGGCTTGACTGCCATTCAGAGTTTGCTTTCTTTCCAAGTATCCACCACCTTACCCCTCTCCATTAAAGTGTATCACAATTGGTGACTGCATATTTATTTGTTTCCTAGACTCCCCCACCAGAATAGGAGTTACATAGGGTTGGGCCCCAGCTGGATCCATCAGGGGGATTTCTCACCTAACAACCCACAGGACGGAGTTTCCAGCGGCCAAGTCTTCGTCTGCAGCTAGAGGGTGCCCAGTATCGGTCGGCTCCTCCCGGCCCCGCCCCTCTAGTGCTTACTTCCGGGATGCTTTACGTGGGAGCGGGAAATACGGTCGCATTGGCCGTACTGCGCTTGCGCACACTGCGCTGTTTGGCTGTGCATTCTTGGTAGCTCCTCCCCCGACCGGACATAACGGTCCGCGCGCTGCTTGCCCGGACCGGAAGTGGAGTGGAACCGTCGTAAGGAGCGCCTGGCCTTACTCAACGCCCGGCAGTTCCTGCCGTCGCCGCCGCCCTCGGCCACTGCCGAGGCTTCCCGCAGCCGCCATGTCCGCCAGTGCCGTCTACGTGTTGGACCTGAAGGGCAAGGTACGGAGGGCTCCCCACCCTCCCCGTTGCCATGCAACCGGCGAGTACCTAGCTTATGGGGATCCACCCTGTTGCTGGGTAACCGGCGGGACCCACCCTGGTTCTAAGCAAAGAAACCTATAGGTCTTGTCCTGTTGCTAGGTAACCAATCTGCCGGACCCCTCTTTCCCTGTGGGCAGGGGCTCAGGCCTCCGTGCGGGCCGCGGGGAGGGTGAGCCGCCGCCGGCATTAGAACCTGGCCTAGAGCCGAGCACCTGCGTGACCCTGGGCTGGAGGTGACGAGGTGTGTCGGGGCCGGTCTGCCCTCGGGCCAGGCCCGCCTTCTGGGAGTCTCGCACCTTCTGTTCTCCAGGCGTTTTCTCTGTGCCAGTCTCTGTACGAATTTATTAACGTTCGTTGTGACATTAAGTTACAAAGGTTAGGTGAGGTGGGTGGCGGGAGAACCATTTTACAGAAGGAAGACGCTGAGGCACGGAACGTTTCAACAAGCCACCCAAGGTCACACTGGGTACAGAGAAGTGGCAGGTTTAGGAGTTGAACCCAGAATTATTTGTTCATTTAGCTGATAATTTCAGGAGCACCTCCTAGATGCCAGGTAGGGTTTTAAGCCTTGGGCCACTTTGGGTGAGCAAAATCAGAGTCAAATGCTGTCCTTCTGGAGCTTACAGTCAAAAAGCACAAATAAATGTAAATGCATTAGTGTTACAGTGAAGATATGATAGGGAGACGACCTCAGGGGACTGTCCGGGAGGGCTTCCTGGAGGGAATGACAAATCCAGCTGAGACATGAAGGAGGAATTGGACATAACTAGTATCCAGGTGCCTTTCCTAGGGGTATCTGAGAAAGCTGCTTAAGGGAGAGGGCTCTTGAATCCTAGAAGTGGTCTGCTGTCTTCCCTTTAGTCCATCCTGCTGGATGCAAAGCAACTATCTGGCCTCTTGTATCTGGCAGGAGCAAGAACAGGTCCAGCAACATTAAACTTGAAGCCACATTGATCAGTGAGAGAACCTTGGGTGTCCAGCCTAGGTGGGGCAGGCAGGAGTTAGAAGCAGGGGTAAGTGAAGTTGAAGTGGCTGCTGCTTCCTGCCCCATTCCCCACCCCAGCACTTTCCCAGAGTTCCATGAATGGGTTGCCTGCCTTTGATACTACCCAGTGATTCCCAGTGCAGGACTGCTTAGAGACAAGGAAAGACACAGGGCACGCCAAGGCTAGATGGTACTAGGTGGGTCCCTAAGTCCTGGTAGCATATGTTCTTGCTTCCACCTTGGCCGCTGTGTCCCCAGAGGTCCCATAGGCTGCCTGTCACAGCTCACTTGTTCCTTCAGCAAACATTTCAGCAGCACCTAACATGCACCAAGCCCTGTGCTCACCATCTCACCGTGACTGTAGAGTTAGAGCTGAGGTCAAAACTCATCTCTGCTGCTCAGTGGTGTGACCTTGGGCAAGTGATTTCACTGCTCTGGGCCCACAGTCCAGACTAGTCCCCATGGGCCTGGAGATCTGGCAGGGGAAACACAGATCCAGACGGTCAGATTCAGTTACCTCTAAGGGCATGGACAAGCCTCAGGTAATGCAATTACCTAACCTCAGTTTTGGCTGGAGAGGTGGTTAGGGTGCTTCCAGGAAGAGCTAGAAAGGTGACCAGGTTGCAGTCAGGTGGACAAGAAGGTGTTGCAGTGAGCTCTAATGGTGAGGAGCAGCCAAAAGTTTTAATGCTGGAGTATGGAGTTTGGCATGAGGAGGGCCGTGGGTATTGATGATATACAGACAGAAAAGAAGGCTAGAGGGGACCATTTTGATCTCAGGAAGGAGGATCCACCACGAGGAGATTATAGCCCAGGAGAAGCATGGTCAGTTCTGCCTTGCAGGAAGCTTTTGAGGCAGCCATTGGCTTCCCTCCCATCCTCAGCAGCCATTATGTCATTTATTATTGCACTCCCCACAGACTTCGTGTTTTGAAAAGTTTGCCTCCTGCGCAGACTGCATTTAATCCAAAATAAGGTTATGGCACATCAAGAAATTTACAATCACACATCTGTCTGCCAGCCAGAGCCTCTGATCACCAAGGAAACCATCATGGCCATACTTAGCTGATAGAAAGCCCTCCACGACACTTCTCTGCCCTTATCTTTCTTGCTTCTGTGCAGCTTCTGACACTATTACCACTCTCCTCTCAGCAGGCTTCCACTGGCCTCCAGGTCACTGTACTCTGTTTTCCTCTTGTTTCTGTCACTGGCTGCTGGCCCCTCCGTTTCCTGCCCTCCTCTGGGATGTTGCCCCACAGGCTTGGGCTAGGTGTGCCTCCTGCATTGTCCTCTCTTCAGACTGGCTTTGCTTCATGTCAATGTTCCAGTGACTCAGATTTGTACTGTAGTCCAGAGCACCATGGAGGTCACACAGCAAGCGCAAATTCGGCATTTCCCAAAATGAACTGCCACCCTCAGACCTACTCTCTCCATCTCAGTGAGTAACACTGCTGTTCATGGAACTGCCCACATTGGAGACCTGGGCATTATCCTGGCCTACTTTTTCTCACCCCCACATTCACTGCATAGACATGTACTGAGCAGCTACCATGGGCCAGGCTCTACTCTGGATGGTGGGACACAGCCATGGATGAGTTGAAAGTGGTCACTGTTCTCAGGGAGTGTTAGACTCTGGTAGAAGCAACAGGCAATAAATGAATAAATAAATAAATAATAATGTATAATGCAGCTGTGATGTGGGCAATGAAGGTAAACACAGGTTGGGGGTAGAGAGGGATGGAATATGATCTTTCAACCAGAGCAAGCAGGGAAAATTTCTTGGAGAAGGTGCCATCTGAGCTGAGGGTTGAGAAATGAAAAGAGGCAGGCCAGGGCATTCTGGGCAGAGGGAACTGCATGTGCAAAGGCCCTGAGGCAGGAGCAGATATAGATTGCTCAGAGGCCAGCAAGGGGGCCAGGATGGCTAGAGTGGGGTGAGCCAGGAGATGATGGATGTTATTTGATGATGGATGGATGCAGTTCTGTATGATGGGAAGCTAGGGTAGACACCAGTTTCAGCATGAAAGAGACCTAGTCTGACTTCTGTTTAAGAAGACCCATGGAGGCCCAGCTGGCATGGCTCAGTGGTTGAGCGTCGACCCATGCACCAAGAGGTTGCCAGTTCAATTCCCAGTCAGGGCACATACCGAGGTCGTGGGCCTAATCCCCAGTGGGGGGCATACAGGAGGCGGCCCATCGATCTTCTCTTTCATTGATATTTCTGTCTCACTCTCTCTCTCTCTCAAAAACAAAAACAAAAAACAAAGAAAGAGAAAGAAAGGAAGAAAATTAAAAAAAAAAAAAAAAAAAAGACCCATGGAGCATTTGAGATCTTGCTTCCAGGCATGTCATCAGTTTAGTTCAAATAAACTCTTTTTTTCTTAATATGTTTTTTATTAATTTTCAGAAAGGGAGGGAGAGGGTGATAGAAACATCGATGAGAGAGAAACATTGATGGGCTACCTCCTGTACCCCTCCTAGTGAGGATCAAGCCCACGACCTGGGCATGTGTCCTGACCGGGAATCTAGCCGTGACCTCTTGGTGCATGGGACGATGCTCAACCACTGAGCCACACCAGCCGGGCTCAGACAAACTTTTATAAAAATTCCTCCCCCTTCCAAAGAAACGAAGACCCTTTTTACTCTTTGTGGTTTAATAGCAACAGTAGGGATAGGAGATTGTCACCTCAATGTTGCCTGCCTCCTCCAGTCTGTCCTGTCTCCTGCCTTTGTCCTCTCATCTGGGACCCAGTTCCCACCAAGTTTCTGTGTCCCCTACACCAGTGGCCTCAGCCACACTGGTCCCTCTGCTTATGTCCTGCCTGTCTCCCCAGGCCTCAGTTTGAAGGTCATATCCTCAGGGATGCCCTCAGTTCCCCCAAGCAAGTATCCCAGTGTAGGGACCCTGTTTGTCTTGGTCATGTGTGTGTCCCCCGGCTTAGCACAGTGCCACCATAGAGGGACACATGGTGTGTGTTTGTTGAGTAAGCAGACCTCCGTGCATTCCTGGTGAGAGTGAACAAATAAACTGCACCCTGCTCTCTCTTTGAACACTCTGTGGGCCTGGGGCTCCATGCTGGCAGCAGCCCCTAAAATTGGATACCTGGGGAAGAAAGTGGGCCTTGGGAAGCCCAAGAAAACAGTGTGTTTAGCAAGCAGAAGTGACCCTACAGGGAATGAGAAGTGGGCTAGAATCCTGAAGCAGCTTTGCTTATGTGACCTCAGGCCAGTGGCACCACCTCTCCTGCATAGACTTCATTTAATCCAAAATAAGGTCATGGCACATCGGTCTCTGTAAAAATAACAGTCCTACCTCATGGCCGAGGCAGTGTATACTCTTTAAGGAGTACATGAAGGAGTACACGGAGTCCCTTAGCTTGGTCCAGGTGCCCACAAGCTCACCTACAGGGTGCTGGATCCATAAGAGGCCTGAGCCTTAGTAGGAACAAGACACAGAGTCCCTTGCCCTCAGGCCAGGAAAGAGAAACTAGGAAAGGAAGGTGTTTTGTCTCTCTCCCTCACCCCCCTGGCTTGAAACTATAAAGAATGATATATTTTATGCAACTCTAGAGTCTGAAGTAGGCAGTTCCAGGTAGGTCATCTCATTGATGATCTCGGTGTATTTCTGAGTT